CATATTCTCTCCACAGTAAGTCAAAAGTCGAACACACCCTTGTTTCTAAGGTAAAACGCTATACAAATATGAAACAGACTATAGCTTAAAAACTAGTTAATCAATAATTCATTTGTCACCAAAAAATACGGTTTCACATCAAATATCAAGTAAAATTACTGTTTTTGACACTTTTTGAGCACTATGATAAAGAAATGTCGACGCTGTATAGATTATAATAAACAATTAATTTCCCCATAGGCGACAATGATAGCCTTTTTCGAGATACAGACTTTAGAAAGCTGATTTTTTTAACGAAACCTTGCTAGAATTAAAGAAAAGTTATTAGGACAGTATTTTTTGGTCCAAAAAATATAGGTTCGCGTTGCTTTTCTTAGCGTAATTTGTACTTATCTCCCATGCCTATCAATTTTGCACTTACAAATACGTGTCTCATCCTAGCGTTTAAAAGACATCTCAGTTCCGCTAGGGCTGAGGAAAATAATTTATTTGGCCTTTGGTATAATGCAGAATGCACGAAGTCTCTAATTACAAAAAATAACGGGCGCACATATCAACCAATCAGGATTAGCTATACTCTTAATTCTGAATACCATGTTATGCTCATAAAATGGCTGCGCCCATAAAATCTAATGGTGTATTGTAACCTATACGCTATTTAATACTTTCTAGAATCATGCAATTCATAGTTCGTTAGATGCATAAATATATATGCCACACAAAAATCATCTTCAAAACGTTCTGGCATTACTCTCTGAATTTTCACAATTTTTTATCAGAGGTAACCCCAGTCAAAAAATGTGAAAAAAAATTTTCTGATTTTTTTAGTAAATGCAGTACTGCTAAAAAGGGCCTGAAGATAATGTCCACTTTCTCCAATGATTCTTTATATGTCATCAAGTACTGATTATATTGATACCAAAACCGATCCAATATGTAACTACTACGGTGAATTTTGAACAACAGTTTTAAATGAAACCATTTTCGTATAAAAGTACATTTTTGAAACAGACTATAGCATTACAAAATATGAAAAATGTGTAAATATTTGTGTTGAAACATCGAAAACTATTCGTTAACAACGAAATGTCATGCCTATTCTAATTTTTATAGTCTGCCATTCGAGTGAACATTTCAATGTTCGAAGGGGATCGTTTCTGTACATTTTCACCGAATTTGGTAATTTCGATAACAGCACTTGGATCGAGATTGTCATGTTTAAAAATCGATTTATATATCCAAACTCTAGATGTGTATGTGCTTTTTACAAACAAATCAGCAGAAGTTCAGAAAATGACATATTCTCTCCACAGTAAGTCAAAAGTCGAACACACCCTTGTTTCTAAGGTAAAACGCTATACAAATATGAAACAGACTATAGCTTAAAAACTAGTTAATCAATAATTCATTTGTCACCAAAAAATACGGTTTCACATCAAATATCAAGTAAAATTACTGTTTTTGACACTTTTTGAGCACTATGATAAAGAAATGTCGACGCTGTATAGATTATAATAAACAATTAATTTCCCCATAGGCGACAATGATAGCCTTTTTCGAGATACAGACTTTAGAAAGCTGATTTTTTTAACGAAACCTTGCTAGAATTAAAGAAAAGTTATTAGGACAGTATTTTTTGGTCCAAAAAATATAGGTTCGCGTTGCTTTTCTTAGCGTAATTTGTACTTATCTCCCATGCCTATCAATTTTGCACTTACAAATACGTGTCTCATCCTAGCGTTTAAAAGACATCTCAGTTCCGCTAGGGCTGAGGAAAATAATTTATTTGGCCTTTGGTATAATGCAGAATGCACGAAGTCTCTAATTACAAAAAATAACGGGCGCACATATCAACCAATCAGGATTAGCTATACTCTTAATTCTGAATACCATGTTATGCTCATAAAATGGCTGCGCCCATAAAATCTAATGGTGTATTGTAACCTATACGCTATTTAATACTTTCTAGAATCATGCAATTCATAGTTCGTTAGATGCATAAATATATATGCCACACAAAAATCATCTTCAAAACGTTCTGGCATTACTCTCTGAATTTTCACAATTTTTTATCAGAGGTAACCCCAGTCAAAAAATGTGAAAAAAAATTTTCTGATTTTTTTAGTAAATGCAGTACTGCTAAAAAGGGCCTGAAGATAATGTCCACTTTCTCCAATGATTCTTTATATGTCATCAAGTACTGATTATATTGATACCAAAACCGATCCAATATGTAACTACTACGGTGAATTTTGAACAACAGTTTTAAATGAAACCATTTTCGTATAAAAGTACATTTTTGAAACAGACTATAGCATTACAAAATATGAAAAATGTGTAAATATTTGTGTTGAAACATCGAAAACTATTCGTTAACAACGAAATGTCATGCCTATTCTAATTTTTATAGTCTGCCATTCGAGTGAACATTTCAATGTTCGAAGGGGATCGTTTCTGTACATTTTCACCGAATTTGGTAATTTCGATAACAGCACTTGGATCGAGATTGTCATGTTTAAAAATCGATTTATATATCCAAACTCTAGATGTGTATGTGCTTTTTACAAACAAATCAGCAGAAGTTCAGAAAATGACATATTCTCTCCACAGTAAGTCAAAAGTCGAACACACCCTTGTTTCTAAGGTAAAACGCTATACAAATATGAAACAGACTATAGCTTAAAAACTAGTTAATCAATAATTCATTTGTCACCAAAAAATACGGTTTCACATCAAATATCAAGTAAAATTACTGTTTTTGACACTTTTTGAGCACTATGATAAAGAAATGTCGACGCTGTATAGATTATAATAAACAATTAATTTCCCCATAGGCGACAATGATAGCCTTTTTCGAGATACAGACTTTAGAAAGCTGATTTTTTTAACGAAACCTTGCTAGAATTAAAGAAAAGTTATTAGGACAGTATTTTTTGGTCCAAAAAATATAGGTTCGCGTTGCTTTTCTTAGCGTAATTTGTACTTATCTCCCATGCCTATCAATTTTGCACTTACAAATACGTGTCTCATCCTAGCGTTTAAAAGACATCTCAGTTCCGCTAGGGCTGAGGAAAATAATTTATTTGGCCTTTGGTATAATGCAGAATGCACGAAGTCTCTAATTACAAAAAATAACGGGCGCACATATCAACCAATCAGGATTAGCTATACTCTTAATTCTGAATACCATGTTATGCTCATAAAATGGCTGCGCCCATAAAATCTAATGGTGTATTGTAACCTATACGCTATTTAATACTTTCTAGAATCATGCAATTCATAGTTCGTTAGATGCATAAATATATATGCCACACAAAAATCATCTTCAAAACGTTCTGGCATTACTCTCTGAATTTTCACAATTTTTTATCAGAGGTAACCCCAGTCAAAAAATGTGAAAAAAAATTTTCTGATTTTTTTAGTAAATGCAGTACTGCTAAAAAGGGCCTGAAGATAATGTCCACTTTCTCCAATGATTCTTTATATGTCATCAAGTACTGATTATATTGATACCAAAACCGATCCAATATGTAACTACTACGGTGAATTTTGAACAACAGTTTTAAATGAAACCATTTTCGTATAAAAGTACATTTTTGAAACAGACTATAGCATTACAAAATATGAAAAATGTGTAAATATTTGTGTTGAAACATCGAAAACTATTCGTTAACAACGAAATGTCATGCCTATTCTAATTTTTATAGTCTGCCATTCGAGTGAACATTTCAATGTTCGAAGGGGATCGTTTCTGTACATTTTCACCGAATTTGGTAATTTCGATAACAGCACTTGGATCGAGATTGTCATGTTTAAAAATCGATTTATATATCCAAACTCTAGATGTGTATGTGCTTTTTACAAACAAATCAGCAGAAGTTCAGAAAATGACATATTCTCTCCACAGTAAGTCAAAAGTCGAACACACCCTTGTTTCTAAGGTAAAACGCTATACAAATATGAAACAGACTATAGCTTAAAAACTAGTTAATCAATAATTCATTTGTCACCAAAAAATACGGTTTCACATCAAATATCAAGTAAAATTACTGTTTTTGACACTTTTTGAGCACTATGATAAAGAAATGTCGACGCTGTATAGATTATAATAAACAATTAATTTCCCCATAGGCGACAATGATAGCCTTTTTCGAGATACAGACTTTAGAAAGCTGATTTTTTTAACGAAACCTTGCTAGAATTAAAGAAAAGTTATTAGGACAGTATTTTTTGGTCCAAAAAATATAGGTTCGCGTTGCTTTTCTTAGCGTAATTTGTACTTATCTCCCATGCCTATCAATTTTGCACTTACAAATACGTGTCTCATCCTAGCGTTTAAAAGACATCTCAGTTCCGCTAGGGCTGAGGAAAATAATTTATTTGGCCTTTGGTATAATGCAGAATGCACGAAGTCTCTAATTACAAAAAATAACGGGCGCACATATCAACCAATCAGGATTAGCTATACTCTTAATTCTGAATACCATGTTATGCTCATAAAATGGCTGCGCCCATAAAATCTAATGGTGTATTGTAACCTAATAAACACGATCAGTAGTTATATGCCTCGGGGTTTACACTATTTGTCCAAGTTTCAGGCCTCACAACTTCGTGTTTCAGACCTCGAAGGTAAGCCCACCCCTCCAAATAACCCAATTTTGTCCGATTTCAATTTTCCAAGTTCGTATTTGAGCTCAAAATGAACATTAAAAGTGAGAAAGATGACAATTAATGGTGTTAGATTGAGGAAACATGCATACACTTCGAATTAGATGGCATTACGTTGACCTCCAAAAAAATGGAGCGCCATTGGTGCCAAATAACGGTGGTCTGGGTACGGCCGTAATATTACGGCCCCCGCATGGTAAGGGTTAAATTATACTACATTTTATATAACGATAAATGTTTTCTCATTTTGTTTTTGCAACTGTCCAAAGAATTACGTCACTTAACATGAATGTATTTATTACCCAAAGATTAATTACAATTGTTTATTCCAGGGAGGACTAACTGGTAGTATTAGCAAATTGAAAGACAGACAACTTCTTATTTTTACCAAGCTGAATAATGAGAATGTCAATCAGAAAGCTCAATTGAAAAAGATGGATGCTTTAGATAACAAAATTAAGGATTTTTCTAAAGCAATGCAAACAAGCAATGCCAACATAAACAAACTTAATGCCAAAATAAAGATGAACGCTAAGAGACGAAAAATAGTGTCTGCTGGAAAATATAAAGCACGAAGATGGGTAAGTACAGCATTGTCGTGTTAAAAAATGTAGCATAAATCTATCTTAACTTAAGGGATGCATTACTTCTACCTTGTCTTCACCAACTATACTATATAGCAACAATCCATGTCACAATGCATCTTTAAAAAAAATATATACATTTTATAATATTTAAAGTGATATTTACGGAAGCCCATTTAGGACATAAATAACAGGACATAAAAAAAACCATACGCATTAGACAAACGCAGCTGTTGATGTTACTTTTGAAATAATTTTCTAATTTTTGTTTTGCGGTCAGATTTCATACAAACTATCAAATCCAGCAGATACTTCTCACCAATTAACGATGTTGTTTCATATATCCCTTATTTTATCAATGCCACCCGCGGTGAAAAAAAATCATCTACCCAAACTACATAAGTGTCCTTACAAACAACGTTATATTACCTTGTCTTCCAAGTGGTCCACTAAACCTCTTTCTAAATTATTAACATAAATTTTATCAGCAATCAAAGCCGGGATTCAAATTTATTGTGAAACTACCTATTCTAGAGGTGGCGAGAATCAGATGTGGATACTAAAAAATCCAAAGATCTTTCAGAGTACATGCAATCTAAGTATCTTTCATCTTGCAATAGTATAAAACATTTGACTTTTCTACACTTTACACAAGTATTCCCCATTCCAATCGAAAAGACAAATTGAAAGAGTTGGTCTTGCTTTGTTTCATAAAAAAAAATGTCCAACGTAGATACAAGTATCTTCTCTTAGGGAGGGATAAATCGTACTTTGTAAAAAAAATCACTCGATCTGATTCAAACAATTTCTCTGAAACTGACATTATCAAGATGCTTGCTTGATTTACAACATATTTGTTACGTTTAGAGGACTTGTTTTTCAACAAACAATCGGAATTCCCATGGGAACCAACTGTGCTCCTCTTCTTGCCGACTTGGTACTTCATTCACATGAGGCTGACTTACTTTACTATCTCGCTATATAGATGATGTTCTCTCAATAAATAACTCAAAATTTGGTGACTATGTTGAAAGCATCTATCCCATCGAACTTGAGACAAAGGATACAACAGATACAGTTAAGTCTGCCTCATATCTTGACTTACATCTAGAAATTGACAATTGAATAAGAGTCGGTTGAAAACAAAACTTTACGACAAAAGGGATGATTTCAGCTTCCCTATTGTGAACTTTCCATTTCTATGTAGCAACATTCCAGCAACGCCTGCATACGGAGTATATATCTCCCAGTTGATACGATATTACAGGGCTTGTATTTCCTATCATGGTTTCCTTGAAAGAGGGTTGCTACTCACAAGAAAGCCATTAAACCAAGAGTTCCAAGTGGTGAAGTTGAAGTCATCCCTTCGTAAATTTTACGGACGCCATCACGAGTTGGTTGACCGTTATAGAATATCCGTTTCACAGATGATAGCGGATATGTTCCAATTGTCGTACCTACAAACTCGTCCCCTTTCCCCGAGTGTGTCCTACCGAATTAGACTTATTACCGGATTTGTACTAACATGAGCAACACGACGTGTGCCACATCTGCTTACCCTTCCGGAGCACCTGAGATCACTCCATAGTTGTTGGTGTGGATCGTGGTGCTCAGTCTTTATTTTTTTTATGTTGTGTTTTGTGTACTGTTGTTTGTTTGTTTGTCTATTTCTTTTTTGCCATGGCGTTGTCGGTTTGTTTTTGACTTATGAGTTTGATTGTCCCTTTGGTATCTTTCACCTCTCTTTTACCCAAAAGTTCATTTGCATATATATATATACAACGGATATTTTGTTACGTATTTCTCCAATATAACTTCAGAAATTAGCAGTCTAATGACTGGGATTCTTTAACCTCTTTTACATTGTTCCAAAATGTATCTTTATCACGATGAAAAAACATTTGTTTTTCAAGAAAACGCCATTTGTTTATTTCTCGTATAGACAAGTTGACTTTCTGACTTTCAAAAACGGCATCTAGTCTACTTTTCATAAAGGACTGCCTTCGTGACTTTCTTGTCACAATTGATAAACAAAAGAGAAAAGCAAAAATAAGATAGCACTATTTACAACACAGACCAATAAAGTAGTACCAACCCCTTCAAAAATTTAGGATTCAACTCGGATCCTCCGGAAGATTTGGAAACATCTGCTCCACTTGTTACACACGTGTTTTTAAAGGTGAGTACAAACCTTGTAATATGTCATATTTGGTGATGTCATTAAGGATTCCTCTAATAATCATTTCTTCCGATAAAAAGATATATTAGGAATACTGCAATCTACAAGAAATTTAGTGATTTTATTGATTTGAATGTGTCAGAACTTACAGAAGATATTCCTTTTATTTAAGATCTTAAACTTCGTAATGTATTTTTCTTTTTCTTAAAGTTGATGGCAAGAAGGACAAAGGAATACAAAAGATTGAACCATGTTGTGAATACACTTATTAAACAGATAACCAAGTTGAAACACAAACAGGTATAGAAAATAAACACCAATCATTAAGAATACCAAGTAGCTATATACATGTATAGCTCTAATTTATAAGGGTGGGGAGGGTATTTGTTTAACATCCGACTCATATTTTCTTTCTTCTGGATTAATTTGCTTTCTGAAATTCACTCGCCCACTCTCAGTGTTTTAAATTGAAGAAATATTATGGAATTTATAGTATTTATTCCCCGTGGAATCAATGTTAAGGAACATTCGTCCCTTAAGGAATATTTATGATGCGATGTCTATAAATGTTTCTAAAGGGGCATCATCTATACGAGGAACAAATATACGTTGACATCAGTAGTACTATGCTGTTTCTTGAATTTAAAATGAAAATGTTTCTTGAAAATAAAATGTTAAGTAAATTAATAAACCAATGTATGTATATATACTTTACTAAGTTCCAAATGCACGAATTATTTTTAAAGTTATAGTTCATTCAGTAAAAAGTTTGCTAGCTTATTACCTTTCGTGTTGTATTGCCGAAGTTAACTGAACGTGACCTTTATAAACAATAAACACAGAATTGTGAATAAGACCCGCAATAGAGCGATGTGTATTTTTTTTTATATTTTCCATGCGTTTCTATTTGATAATTAAACTTTTTCATAACAGTTGTTAAATAATTTGATGTATTAATTTGTTCTTTTAGAATTTATTACTGTGACTTGACTGTAAGTGTTGCTCTCCACCTATTGCAGTTTATTCAAAATTCTGACCAAATTCCAATTTGTTTTATCAAACCAAACTGGTCAACTGGTCAAGAATTTGAACAAACTGCTGTAGAAAAACACAGTCAAGTGGGGAAGTGCAAGGTGATAAAATAAAGCATACTTACAATCCTATAAGACTTTAATTCCACTTCAATGATATTATGGAAAATCAGTCTAACAATTTGTATACAAATTTTTATTGTAATTGCTTAAACAGAAACTTTTTTCAAATAAAGAGCACCCTTTTGAATATTTAAAAAAAAATAAGTCGTTGTTTTCACGATTTATAAATATAAGAAGATGTGGTATGATTGCCAATGAGACAACTCTCACCAAGAGACCAAATGACACAGAAATTAACAACAATAGGTCACCATACGGCCTTCAACAATGAGCAAAGCCCGTACCGCATAATCAGCCATAAAAGGCCCCTAAATAACAAATGAAAAACTATTCAAACGAGAAAACTAACGGATTTATGTACAAAATAATGAACGAAAAAGAAATATGATATGGGTGCAATCAACAGTTTTTTTTCTATGATGTCATATTTTAAGGGACCATGTCTAAGTGACCCTTAGTGGTGGAATGGTTAATAAAGATACTTGTATAAAACTAGATATCACTGGAATCAGAATTGTCTCTAGTTCATATTGAAATAAAAATATAGTGTACTTTTAGTATAGTAAAAAAGTTCTATCCAGAGAAAAAGTTGCCTATTAATCTGAACATAAAAAACCTGAAATCAGCTCATGTGCATACCCATGTAAACATGATACAGGCACATTTCCCATAATCAAAACTGTATGAAATTCATAGGTTTTTACCTGGCCTTTAATAAAAATCATGTTTCAGGGTACGGTTTCCTGCTTCGAAAAGAGCTACAGTGGCTGCAAATAAGTTTTCAATTTTCACTGCCAAAACAACAGGATGTTTACAGTGTTGTCTCCCCTCAAAACATGTATATTTAATCTAATTTTTAAAATTATTTTAATTATTTCACCTGTTTAAATTGAAAGCTTATTAACTAATTTATACAATCAAATACAAAAAACATGATACTTTTTCACCAATTATATGAATAAAAAGGGATTTCCCTCCATGGTTATTTTTAGTCGGGGAATAACCCCTAGTTTTGTATACGAAACTGTTTATAGCACCCTATACAGTAACAAACGACAACCACTGAATTACAAGCTCCTGACTAGGAGCAGGCACATACAGAATGTGGTGGGGTTAAACATGTTAGCGGGCGCCCAATCCTCCCCTAACCTGGTACAGTGGTGTAACAGTACAACATATGAACAAACTACAAAAATCAGTTGAAAAGGGCTTAACTCATCAGATAGATACAAAGCAAAAGCAAGTAACAAAAACACAGAGTGGACGTGGCAGGGTACTTATACATCCCCACAACAAAAAGACACTAAGTACAGATCTGAGAGTAATCGCAGTTACTGACAGCTAGTTCAAAGCCAATAACAACTAATAAAAAAAATCATACATCTAAGACTAAAATATCAATCAGTACACATCCAACATCCAATGGATTTAGTGTTAAGATGTCATAAACAGTCAGAGAAAAACATGACCTTGTGCAATGCCAAGATACAGGTATCGACAGATTGTAGTGCAATGAATATGCATATTATATTAAAACCAATAAAAAAATATTCAAAGATCTAATAACAGTGTTGAATTGGTAACATTTTAAAATACATTTATTTAAAGGATCGATAAGTTTACCTGGATTGTTTTTAAATTTACGGGCTCAGTAAACAACATCTCCGTAAAAATTGGGATGTGCTATCCCATTTGAAATAAGTTTTCTACAGGTACAACCAAACTTCAAAACCAAATCTTTATATCTATGGAAGAATTAAGTATAGGTTTTAAGTAATTTGTGGAAACGAAATCCCTGACTTAATAATTTACCAGTAATACATACATTACGTTCACTTATATCCAAAACGTCACAGCAGACACGGGCATAGCTAACGAGTTGTGATATATAAACACCGTAAGATGGTGCCAAAGGAACATCACCGTCCAAAAAAGGAAAATTAATAATAGGGAATGAAAAATCGTCCCTTTTGTCGTGAATTTTAGTGTAGAGTTTCCTGGGTGAAACTGAAATAACTTAATCTAGGGAAGGACAGTTATAACCATTTATATTTGATTTATTTAGATTAATTTCCTTTGGGTAAATTTCGGTAGTATATTTAGAAAATTCTTGTTTATTTATCGAAAAAATATCATCAAGATAACGGTAAGTGTTGTTGAATTTATCAATTAAATGCAATTTAGAATGGTCTTTACTTAGTTTGGTCATAAACTGTGATTCATAACAGTACAAGAACAAGTCTGCTATTAAAGGGGCGCAATTGGTGCCCATAGGAATACCTAAAACCTGTCGATAAACTTTATTGCCGAAACGTACATAAATATTATCAAGCAGAAAATTAACAGCTTCAATCAGCTCATCACACCTCCCGTAAGTATATCTAGCATATTTACCTTTCTCATTAGAGAAGAAGGCTTTAAATAAGCCATTTTAAGGTTTTTCCAGGCCTGGAACGTTTGATTGAACATTTAAGGTTTTGCCAGCTTTCAATGATGAGTAGGAACCGTGTCTCAACCCTTTTTAGGTCACCTGGTCCAAAGGGCTAAGTGATCTTTTCTTGTACAAGGTCCTCTTTGTGTTTTATGCAAAAATTAAAAAAGACAGAGAGACACTGTTGAAATGGAAAAAAAAATCAGCAATACAAGATCAACAAAAACAGTGTTTTGTCATTAATAATCGATTGCAAGGGCAAATTTGCACAACCTGTAGCTTCAAATATATCAGGGCTATTCCATTAAATGTATGTGGGAGGGTAGGAAGGGAAAATTAATTATTGAATGTAGGGTATGGGTCTTTTTATAATATGAATCTATTACCATTATGCAAAGTTATCTAAAACAATTGTTCCTGATTGTAGGGATATTTTGAAAGTCCCTTCCTACCCTCCCACATACATTTTAATGGAATAGCCCTCACTGTGAACCGTACTTTTTAGTATATTTGAAAAAAAATGTTAAAAACTACATTTTGGCAAAGTATAAGAACATTCTATCGCAGGAACTATTTAGTGATGATCAACCTTAAATTCAATATTTACGTTTATGATAATTAAGTTATTTCATGTAGTTACCGTTGGGCGTTTTCCAAGTCTTATATTTCTTTTTTGATGTATTTTGTTTGCCTGTCACATTTTAATCATGGCTTTAAAGAGTCAAAAGGATTACAGTTTTTTCTAAACACAAGTGCCACAGATAATTGACAAATCCGAACAGTTTTTTTTCTCGTTTCTTTTTTAGTTCATGGGATTCCCTCTGTTTTTCCCCCACTTCGTTTGTATATCAAAAATGGATTTCGACATCGGTATACTAATGTTTCCTCTCGTATTTTCCTGAAGTTTAGCTATATGTCTGCTTCTTTTGGATATAACCAATGAAATCGACTTTTAACATTTTCTACATCAGACAAAAACTGAAGAACTCACAGCAAATTACAAGAATCTGCTTGAAGAGGTAAAAGGTTTAAAAGACAAATTAGGCAAAAGTAAGTTGACAATTATTACGATATGTTTGAAAATGTTGTTAAAGGAAATAAAAAGTAATTAAATGTACAAATAGCATTTCTTCACTAGCAAATCATGTGACTAAAACACAACCAAGCGCTTTACGAGTCAAAACGTATAGCTTATTTACACATCAATAACACTTTGTTTGTCAAAATGACAAGAAACATCAATCATTATTTTTTTATTCTTCAAATGGTATTGAACACATGAAAATCCTGTACACACCCATGCAAGCGACTTTAAACACAAACTAATTTCTTCAGAATGACAAAAATAATATTATTATGATAAAAGTGTAAAAATAAGGCCATGTGGTATGATTGTAAATGAGACAACTATCCACCAAACTTAAAATGAAAGTGGATGTAAGCAATTAAAGACAACCGTATGGCCTTACACAATGAGAAAAACCCATACCGTATAGTCAGCTATAAAAAAGCTCCGACTTAAAAATATGAAACAATTCAATTGAGAAAACTAACGACCTAATTTATAATAAAACAAATTTACGGTAAACAAATATGACGGACATGAACCAACGACAACCACTGAGTTACAGGCTCCTGACTTGGGACAGGCACATACAGAATGTGGCGGGGTTAAACATGTTTGTGTAACTCTCCCCATATTTGGGACAGTGGTGTCACAGCACAACATAAGAACAAACTATAAAAATCAGTTGAAAAAGGCTTAACTCATCAAATCGATACAAAGAAAAACAGCAAACAAAAACACAGACAGGACGTGGTAGGGTATATATCCATCCCTCATCCCTTACAACCTCATTTTGGCGTTTATGATAATTTATAAATGGTAAAGGAAATCATAAGGCCTTCAAAGATATTTTCAAAACACAGCATGCTCACTACTGGTCCATATTTAGACCCTGTTAAGCCATGTATTCTTCAAAGGTCAACATTGAAAATTTTGCGATCCTCAAACGACCACCATATCATTTCTGCAAAATTGAAAATCGACAGCTGGTTATATATGTTCATTACACCATTCCTTTGACATGTTTTAAAAAGTATAAAGAAAAGTTACAGCCTATTTGAGTTTGAATTCAAAAACGGAGAGACGGACGGAAAAACGTACGGATTACGGTATACTGTATTAAGTAGGTTAACAGAAAAGAAATGATGTGGGGTATCTATCAATGACAAATAATCATTTTATGAACAGCAAAGAACACAAAAAGCAAAGGAACGGCGCTTTTATTGCTCTTTTATATCTTAAAGTCACGATGAGACCTTCAACATAGAGCAAAACCCTCACATCACTGCAAGTTAAAGGTGGCTCCTAGCACCGGTTTGAGTGGAATTCTGTGCAAACTGACGATCACGCCACAGTTGTGAATTGAGAAGAAAGCCATGAAGTAATATCAATAATATAAATCTGGCAAAGTAATCAAACATTCAGTCAGGAGCCTGTTGTTCAGTGGTTGTCGTTTGTTAGTGTGGTTCATAGGTGTTTCTCGTTTCTCATTTTTTATATACATGTAGATTAGACCGTTGGTTTTCCTGTTTGAATTGTTTTACACTAGCCATTTTTGGGGCCCTTCATAGCTTGCTGTTCGCTGTGAGTTGAAGGCCGTACTATGACGTATAATTGTTAACTTATCATACATTGTGACTTGGATGGAGAGTTGTCTCATTATCACTCATACCACATCTTCTTATTTATACTGTAATGTGTGTTTTTTGGTGTTTTTTTATTACTTGTCTATTGTCTAGATTGTATATATTATTGTTCTGGAAATGTTTAAAATGATATTGTTTATGTGTTATATGCCTTCCTTGCGCCCTAATTTGGTGAATAAAATTTTCTATTTATTCTTTTCTATTCTATATGGTAACCTATAGAATTCCTGTTCTCCCCAGGTTGCTTTGCCCTGATTTCCATATGTCCTGTGCCATTACCACCAGATGTGATAAATATATGTAAATGTTTTTTGAGCAAGAATGTAGAATTCTTTTTCAGTTTTTTATAAATGCATTTGACCAGGAATTATGTATAAAAATTCGTAAAAGGGTTCCGCAGAACACTCTGACTGGCCTGCGATTGATGCTGTCAGTGTAAAAGTGTAATGTTGACCTTAAAAAGTAAGTCCATTTAACAGTAAAATACGGGAACCTTAACACGAAGATTTAATATACAGTGCATGGCCATAAGTATTCGTCACTTGTGATTTTTCATTATATATTTCATATAAAACTACGTCTTTTCAAAAACATATTGTGAGGCCATTTCTCGTTGGATTTTAATGAATTTGGTACAAATAGAAGCAGAATTGTAACAAGTTTATTTCGTTGATGGTTATATTTTATTATGTTGCGTTTTAATTTTCTGATGATATAAACACAAATATTATTATTTGTTCAGAAATTTTCTAAATATTTCGAATAGATTAAAATGTAACAAATTATTATACCTGTACATATCAAGAGAAAACTAAAACAAATGACGACAAAACTATGACTAAACAAACAAATATACTTCAGATAATTATGTGTCTTTTTAGACATGGTTTATAAAAATTCGATAATATGCATTCAAAATATTTACTGTAAGCATGTGTTTTCGTATGAAATATATAGCGAAAAAGGAAGGTGACGAATACCTTTTGCCATGCACATGTACTTCATGTCAAAATGCCAGATTTTGATTGGTTAATTCGAGGGTGATAATTTACTTTTATCCGTGGCTTATTATACACTTATATACTGGCCTTGAGGACAATATCAAGTTTATTGGCCCCCGAGGCACCAACTATTTCGCGACGCAAAGCGGAGGGAAATAGTTGCTGTCGTGGGGGACAACGAACTTGTTTTTGTCCGAATAGCCAGTAAATAAGTGTTTTATTATACAGAAAGATACTTATACCTGTGTCTAGTCTATATTTCGAGACAATGTATAGTTATTCTCCTTATACTGCAACTCTTACAACTGTTCAAAATGAAACACATATTCTTTATTGACGTCATAATAATTTGACAAGGCAAATAGCACAGTTGCAGTATAAGCAATCATTCGGAAGTCTCGGGAGACGAGTCAATTCAAACTTTTTAGCCACCAAGACACCTGTAGTCAAGATATTCAATCCGAAGCAAAAGGTTACAGAGAAAGTTAGACCAAAAGGTATGTTTACATTGAAATATTGTTTGAAATTTTTATTAGTTTACTTAAAACAATCAAACGTCGAGGTATAACTTTAAAGACAGTTACTGAGATTAACTTGATGACTTTTTAAAGTTTTAATTCCTGATTCCATCTTTTGTACTGTCGTAGCTTGAATATTTATTGTGAGTCATTTGCATCCATGTGTGTAGCAGGTGGTGGAATTCAATGATAACCTGAATTTGCAGACATAGTTGAAAAAAAATGCTCATTGAGTTTGATTTTACATTAAACTTTATCTTTTTTGTCGTTATATATCAAGGCCATTACTGTTTATTTTATTTTCATTATAAAGAAATCGATTGACGGGTTTGGGGATGCTTACACTTCAACAATATCTATACCTAAAGATAAATCGAAGCTGTTCTTTTTATATCTTAAACTTAGAAGAGAAAGACAACAATGAAAAAAGATTAAGAAAAATAGTTATACTTTTACATGATTGCATTCCATCATCACCAGTAATAAGAAAATAATGTTCAATAATTTAGTCAGAACATGTTTCGATGTTTTCTCTATCAAAAACAAAATTGTATCTTTCAGTGACAAAAGTTCCGAAAGTTAAACCAAGTAGAGGTCAGTGTGTTTTCTGTATACTAGTACTGAATGTTGAAATGCTGTATATGCTGAAATATATCCGTTCGCTCCGTGCACTATACGATCTTCAAATAAGTGAACACGGCCAAATTACCACACTAGTTATAGGACTTATTGCCATTAAACGAAGTTTTTCATCACAAAAAAAAAATACTAGATAGATAAAAACTGTTCACAGTAAAAAGTACCAGGCTTTTAATTTAGTACGCCAGACGTGCGTTTTGTCTACAAAATGATCATCAATACAAGATCTACAAAATTCCACTGAATAAGATCTACAAATAAGCAATCATAACTGATTGTTATTAAGTAGGGAAAAATTATATCAAAATTGCATACTTTTTATGAGGTGAGAGATTCAGGCTCATGTGACCCATTTGTTTCATCACATAAACTACAGAACCATTTAAAAATTACACTACTGAAGTATGCGGAACTGTCCGTAAAAATCAAAGTCGCCTACCGTCAGATTTTTGTATCAAAGCATCTAGTTGTAATAATAACATATCACATATCATAATGACATAAAATTTTATCAAAAAGATGAAGTTCTGGTGTAATATGAAAAGATGAGAAAAAATTGTAACAGCAATAACTTCTTTACAATAACATACACGACCACTCCATTTCATATAACCTGCCTTGGTCTAAATATGTATTTAAGGCAGTACGATGGCTTCCCGCAATATATGTAATGTCATAAACAATGAATGAGTATGAAAATGGAAAGATTAAGGTCTCAGTTAATCAATGAAACCGCTACATTTAAACGGGCTACACAAATAATGTTAGTATTTTAGTTGAATTGACACGCGCCATAAACTTTTAACGATGATTTAGTGCAGTGCATGTCCATGACACAATTTATTATTTTGATTGGTGTTAAACAGGATCAGCTAATAAGTTATTTATATATTCAATTGGTCTTGGTCTATAAGAAGGTATGAAAAACACGTTAGGACTGTATGCATATTGAATGAACTTACATTAAGTTTCAGTGAATTTAAATTCATGAATCATTTGAATTGTATTGGCACTTGCAGTGCACACATTAAATTTCAGTCAGTCAAAATTCATGAATTGTTTGAGTTGAATTGGCACTAGAATACATTAGGTAGTAGTCAATTACTATTCATGAATCGTTTGAGTTGTACTTGCACTATATAGCTAGTACACATTAAGTTTCAGTCAATTGTAACCCACAAATCGTTTTGTGTTGTATTGGCACTAGCGCACATTCAGTTTCAGTCAATTAAAATTCATGAAATTATTTGAGTTGTATTGGCACTAAGACACATTACGTTTTAGGCAATTGAAATTCATGAATCGTTTGAGTTGTATTGACACTAGTACACATTAAGTTTCAGTCAATTGAAATTCACGAATCGTTTGAGTTGTATTGGCACAAGCACAGTGTGTTTATACCATACGTGTTTTCATATAATGGGTTAGATTCATTATTGGGTCATGCCAAATACTACATATAATATTATACAGTTATTTAATATGTAACTATGCAATAGATCAAAATATATTTCCCGAGGTATGAAGATCAGCTCATTGTTCTATTGCCTGAAGCCAACGGCTGAGGGCAATAGAACAATGAGCTGATCTTCATACCGAGGGAAATATATTTTGATCTATTGCACTGTTACACATTCAATAACTGTTTTATTACCTAATACATACTGAGTCAGTTCTAACAAATTCTTAGAAATAAAACACATGAAAGTAACAACTGTATTAATTATAATGTGTAAGGAGCATACATGTACAACCAAAACAATAAATCCAAGAACGTTTAAAAGACCCAATTTGATTGGACAACATGAATACCTTTCAACTAATCAGATTTCAGAATAAGAGGTCGTAACAGGTCAGTGCAATAGACTGCACACAGGTGCAATAGAACGATAATTTCCAGTGCAATAGACCATGGAACAAAAAATGGCAGAAAAATAGCAAATAATATAGAAATATTAATAAAACAGTAAAATACTCTTTAAAAGGTAATAATCTTACTTATTTTCTAAGCACGTGGAATTTCTGAGCAAGAGAGAAAACTGTTGTAGTCAACATTGTGTGTCAGGGGACCTGCCTTACTACGAATCTACCTTGTTAATTTCTGCTTTAAAAATCTTGACCTAATCTAAAAGTCGAGTAATCAAACTGTTATTGGTATTTTATTAAAATTTTAGCGTGGGTGATGTGTTATATACCGCTTGATGCTTTAATTTATACTTTAATTTATCTTTCAGTGAAAATTATAAAGAATATTAGACCGAAAGGTATGTTGCCAAGCTACAATATGTATGTCTTATTTTTATACTGATATCTCTGCTGTTATTCAGACATTTTAATTGCATGAAAGGAACAATTGAACATCGACAGTAAACATAGAATTCGAGTCAACCAAAACACCTTTTTGTAAATTAAAAAGTTCTTAATTTTCGAAAAACATGAAGGTACGTAGGCACTGGCTACATTCTAGTTATATTTACAGTTGCATTGCATGTATTGTAGTGCCTTTAATATATGGTAATACAATTTAAAAAAAAAGTCAGTTCTTCTATCGTTTTTTTTCCGTAAAAGATGGAAATGTTTAATATACATGTTAAGTTGCACTCTTCGCGTGATGATCCTTTATAAATATACACTCAATGCCCCAAAAAACTAAGTTACTTAATAAATTAAAAGACGATTTTATTTAGTCAGGATGTTTTGTTCAGTACGTACGAGAAAGCGGACATGCTTTGTTCAAATTTACACAAGAATGTTTGCACTACGTCTGCAGACAGTTTAAATTTTTATTTAGTTTATCCACATCAAGATCTTAATTAATACCATCATGGTTTTCAATTAGTTTAACTTAAAAAAAACTGTTCATATAAAGAAAAATGGACATAGCCAGAATAGTTGCTATGTTCTGCAGATTTCGAGTATTTGGCCGTCTTTGTAGGCCTGGCTCATTCAGTTCTACTTTCGAACACGATCTTAACTTGCGAGAATATAACTAGTAAATCTTATTATGAATGATACACTCTTTTAGAAAACTATTTCTGGTTGTAGATCCCAGTAACAAAATAATTTTGAAACATCGCAATTTTTTTGGGCTTAATTGGCCGTCATTAGAACGCAATAACAAGATCTGATTTCCCTCAAAGATGAACTCTTTTCTGGTAAATTTGTTGACTGAGGCACATTGTCTATACTGGTACCTATCAGCTTTAATGTGTCCTGCAGGTCAGTAAAAAAGGACGAAAAATGGTAAAAAAAAACTACGTTTTTTTTTTACGAGGTGGCCTTCTCTGAGTTTTATTAAGTCTCCCAAACGAAGTTTGGGAACACTTATTGTTTTTGCTCAGGTCTTATTATTATTATTCTTAATCTTCTTCTTCCTCTTCCTCTTCCTCTTCCGCCGCTTTTAAATTTGAAATTGTCCGCACCCGTTCTCCAAAACCGCTTGTCAGATTAACTTAGGGTTTCACAGTATGTTAGACTAACATGTCTAGTGGTGCAATCAGGGTTTTGTTTGTGCAGTGGGGTTTATAAAGGGGTACTTTGAGGGGCAAAAAGAAAAGAGGGTTTTACTATAGAATCCTATGGGATTTTATTTTTTTAAATTTTCAAATGATTATAGATTGAAAACTGTTTGTGATAGACACAATCTTTTTAATTGAAAATGTTCTAAATGATAAAGCCCATTAAATGAAACACTGGGTTAGTCCCCAGGGGTCACCTCCACCCCCTGCCATTTAAGAAAGTTCTAATACCTTGTAAGTGGTCAAGATCCCCACCCCTAAACCATATATATTCTGGTTTGTCATGCTAAGATGGTTTGAATCATATACAGGGTTAGCCCCAGAAGTCATCCCGATCCCCTACCATTTGAGAAAGTTCTAATATCTTGTAAATGGTCGAGATCCCCACCCCTAAACCATATATATTCTAGTTTGTCATGATAAGATGGTTTGAATGATATACAGGGTTAGTCCCCAGGGGTAATCCCGACCCCCTACCATTTGAGAAAGTTCTAATATCTTGTAAATGGTCGAGATCCCCACCCCTAAACCATATATATATTCTGGTTTGTCATGATAATGCAAATCAAATGAAATACAGGGTTAGTCCGCAGGGATCACCCCCACCCCCTGTCATTTAAGAAAGTTCTAATACCTTGTAAGTGGTCAAGATCTCCACCCCTAAACCATATATATTCTGGTTTGTCATGCTAAGATGGTTTGAATGATATACAGGCTTAGTCCCCAGGGGTCATCCCGACCCCCTGCCATTTGAGAAAGTTCTAATATCTTGTAAATGGTCGAGATCCCCACCCCTAAACCATATATATTCTGGTTTGTCATGATAAAGCAAATCAAATGAAATACAGGGTTAGTCCCCAGGGGTCACCCCCACCCCTGCCTTTTAAGAAAGTTCTTATACCTTGTAAGAGGTCGAGATCCCCACCCCTAAACCATATATATTCTGGTATGTCATGCTAAGATGGTTTGAATGTTATACAGGGTTAGTCCCCAGGGGTCATCCCGACCCCCTGCGATTTGAGAAAGTTCTAATATCTTGTAAGTGGTTAAGATCCCCACCCCTAAACAATATATATTCAGGTATGTCATGCGATGATGGTTTGAATAATATACAGGGTTAGTCCCCAGGGATCACCCCCACCCCCTGTCATTTAAGAAAGTTCTAATACCTTGTAAGTGGTCAAGATCTCCACCCCTAAACCATATATATTCTGGTTTGTCATGCTAAGATGGTTTGAATGATATACAGGCTTAGTCCCCAGGGGTCATCCCGACCCCCTGCCATTTGAGAAAGTTCTAATATCTTGTAAATGGTCGAGATCCCCACCCCTAAACCATATATATTCTGGTTTGTCATGATAAAGCAAATCAAATGAAATACAGGGTTAGTCCACAGGGGTCACCCCCCACCCCCTGCCTTTTAAGAAAGTTCTAATACCTTGTAAGAGGTCGAGATCCCCACCCCTAAACCATATATATTCTGGTATGTCATGCTAAGATGGTTTGAATGTTATACAGGGTTAGTCCCCACGGGTCATCCCGACCCCCTGCGATTTGAGAAAGTTTTAATATCTTGTAAATTGTCGAGATCCCCACCCCTAAACCATATATATTCTGGTTTGTCATGATGAAGCACATCAAATGAAATACAGGGTTAGTCCCCAGGGGTCACCCCACCCCCTGCCATTTAAGAAAGTTCTAATATCTTGTAAGTGGTTAAGATCCCCACCCCTAAACCATATATATTCAGGTATGTCATGCGATGATGGTTTGAATGATATACAGGGTTAGTCCCCAGGGGTCATCCCGACCCCCTGCCATTTGAGAAAGTTCTGATATCTTGTAAATTGTCGAGATCCTCACCCCAAAACCATATATATTCCTGTTCGTCATGTCTTGAACATTTGGATGACGTATACGGTCAGTCCCCAGGGGTTCCCCCCACCCCCAATGTTCTAATATCTTGTAAATGGTCGAGATCCCCACCCATAAACCGTCAATATTCCTGTTCGTCATGTCTCAAACATTTGAATGACGTATTACTGGACCAAACTAATTTTCACTGGACTTTGCCCAATGTCGGGCGACCCTGGGAATTACGAATTATTGGAGCTTCATTTGGGAGACTTCGTAACAGCATCCTGTTACAATCATTTCTTGTTATATTTAGAAATTACTTTTATTAAACATACAAAGATTGATGCAATAATGTTTTGCTTTATAATATGTATGTACGCTTTTAGAGATAAGGTATACCGCTTTAAAAAGTTATTGATATTCCATTTTGAACTAAATGTGCCTTACTTATCGCTTTTGTCTTTTACTGTTATGAATCACAGTGTATGTCTAAACTTTGTAAGATGAATTTTCAGAAAAATATGCAGTAATGTGAAAGATTTACATATACTTTTTAAAATTTTTGGATTTCGGCGTTCCTGGTGATCATGAAAAGCATTTCGGACACACAAATTTTATAAATCCTCCAGCCAACTCCAATGGCGTGTAATTTCACAACCTAGGTGTACAGCTTGCTAGACTATGTTCTTATGTACTAGAAGCTGATTTTACTGAGCAAAACATTGCATTAATGCAAACAATACTTACAGGTTAATAGAAGCCGCAGACATTTGAATAGATTTGTCTACTTTCTTTTTATATCATTCAAATCATTTACATGCTAATTTTATTTTTCAGTGACCATTAAACCAACGGGTCAGTATATTTACTTTTATATGTGATTTCTATGTTATGCATACTATAATATGTGATTTTTATGTTATGCATACTTTAATGTATCTTTGTTTGGAGTGAATAATGTTAAATTATATTTAAGATATTCCTCAATTATTATCGAAACGGATAAATACTGGATATACTGCTTCTTTTAAACAAAAAATAAATGTCATTTCAATTTATATAAAATACTTACATTTGAAAAAGAAAATCAAATAGTATATCAGTTTTATGCTTATATATTCTTGGGTAAAACATGTAAAAATGACTTAACAGACATACAAAACTGTCTTCATTTTTTATTGCATATAACGACTTTTATTTTACTCATTTGAATTTTACATGTTTCAGTTACAATAAAGCCAAAAGGTCAGTATATTTGCTCTTTCATTTAAAGTTATATATGTCTTCATATGGCATTGATAGGATGACTGTTGGTAGACGATCCAGGTCCAGCTACTATTAACTGCTTTTAGAAGCACGATGTGCAAAGGGATGTTCTGACGACTTTAGGGTGTTATTTCGTTAATGTCTATATTTACTTTGATTTAAAAAGTACCCAGGAGGCATAGTTTTCAGTTTGTGAATTCATAGACAAGTGATTTCTTTATTTCGTTGAAGTTTAACATTATAAATGCAGAATATAAACAGAAGTTAAACTTAAACGGTAGTCACTGCCGAAATAAATTATTATATTGCTCAGTGAACCTTAAAACTTGTCTTTTATATTTTCAATTATATATTTTCTTTAGATCATCGATAATAATTTGGGTAAAAAATGTCATAATATTATGTTCCTGTACCTGTGCTTTTGAATTAGTTATAAAGACCCTCATTTCCTTAGTATATAAAGTTAAACTCGAAAAAAGAAATTATGTCACACTTTGTAAAGCTAAAGAAAAAACGAAAGCCTGAATTTTACTAAACAAAATTTAGCAAGGAAAATGAAATCTATAAACAAGTCTTTGAATTCTTTAAAAAACCGAAAAGATTCCTCGAAGTAAAATAAAATAATATAAGAAAACAAAATCACACTCAATGTCCACGAAATTCCTTTTTTTTTTACTTTTTTGTACACTGTATGTAATTGCTTCTAATTTACTAGTTAGAAACCTTCATACTATTAGTACTACAGAGTTATCATAAAGTAGTATAGTCCTTGTACAATACATGTTAGAAACCTTCATACTATTAGTACTGTACTACAGAGGTTATCATAAAGTTATATAGTCCACGTACAATCCATGTTAGAAACCTTCATACTATTAGTACTATAGAGGTTATCATAAAGTTATATAGTCCACGTACAATACATGTTAAAAACCTTCATACTATTAGTACTGTACTACAGAGGTTATCATAAAGTTATATAGTCCACGTACAATACATGTTAAAAACCTTCATACTATTAGTACTACAGAGGTTATCATAAAGTTATATAGTCCACGTACAATACATGTTAAAAACCTTCATACTATTAGTACTACAGAGGTTATCATAAAGTTATATAGTCAACGTACAATACATGTTAGAAACCTTCATACTATTAGTACTACAGAGGTTATCATAAAGTTATATAGTCAACGTACAATACATGTTAGAAACCTTCATACTATTAGTACTACAGAGGTTATCATAAAGTTATATAGTCAACGTACAATACATGTTAGAAACAAAATTTCAGAAAACAAATCAGTTATAACAGTTTGAAGATGTTTATTAAGATCCCTTTGGGGAAGTTGGAAATCAAAAAACGATCATGATGCTATATTTTTTAAAAAACATTAAAAATAACGATAACGAATATTTACACATTTACTATGGAACATAATTGTCTAAGTACCCTTTTGACCAAAAGCTTATCTCATAATGACTTTCTGATACACTTTTATTAAAAAAAAATTAATGCTATTTCTTTGATTTATTACAAAAAAATGAATATTCACGCAGAAATACCTTTTTCAGTTTAAGTCCGAAACTGAAAGAAACAATTATAGTTTGAACAAGCATCTGATGACTACAACAACAAGAACACTTTCTCTTTCATAGGAACCAATCGATCATTATAGACTTAACTGCAGAAACTAGGAATAAGATTAAAAAGACTTACAGATACAAGCATGTAGGATGTCGGACTATATAGACGAAGAAACCCGCGCATTCAGTACCCATGCTCAAATATTGATTCTAAATTAATAAGCAAAATACAATTTATATATAATAAATATATAATTCTTTCAAAGAAGGGAATTGTTGGCAGATTTTCTGTAAAACCCTCGAAACGTTTTCTTTTGGTAGAACAAATTCAAATCACATGGTTAAGCAAAACATGTGCTAGCCACTTCCTAATTTCAATAACTGTTTACTTGATTTTTATGTTTCAGTTGAACTCAAACCAAAAGGTCAGTATATTTCCTTTTACATGTAATGTTATTTCTGGTATCTATTGATCAGATCATGATCTCATATGCATATATCATAAAATAACATACATTTTAATTATGTTCAATGGAGAATTACAATGGAGTATATAGGAGAAGGGAAGTAAACATTAGGAACGGTTGTGTAATAGGAGCTGAATATATTTTTCAATTTAACAATATTCTTCGTATTTGATATCAATAATAATGTCTTCTATTTTAGTGCAGTATGTAAGTATTGCATGAATTAGATATTTTTTAAATAAGTCACCCGAATCATTTTACCTAAAACCAATGTGTGTACGGAATGTGCTAACCAAGAAAACAATTAACGTGTGCTGTTGTATTTGTGTGATATGAGTTTGCAGTATGAAAATATTCTGCAATAGGTAAAATGTTTTATCTGACATAAATGTATAAAACATATATCTTAACTATTCTTTTCCTTTTTGCCAATTTGATGCAAATCACCCTTTCCTGTTAATCAGATGCATAGAAATTTGAAGTCAATATTTCGATCACTAGTTTCAGGTCGCATACCTTTAGTTTATCAAAAGCATCAAGAAAACTTGATATTAAGTTGGGAATGTGTTTGGTCATAAGGTCCAAACTGTTTATGACAACTAATTTTGATTATTACAGCCAGAAGTTCGTTCAAAAGATTAAAACAAATGCTACAGAACAAAGTTGGCAAATTTCAATCTAATTTTGTTGAATATTCTTCGAACCTGTTTTAATAATGGTTAAGCAATGAACCAGGTTTACTTAGCTACTTGATTAACCACACCGGGGTTCATTACCACTGCTGAAGCCTTATTACTTAGACTTTTGTTTTACAATTTTGACAATACAGGATCCTTTCAGTTAAGCAAACCTCACACGGTTTCAGATATTTTTGTTACCCATTGCAACGTAGGGATATACAAATACCGGGCGTACGTCCATCCGGATTTGTAAGCGCTCTCGTACTATTCTTGCCAGATCTTTATGAAATTTATATGAAATTTTGATATCAGCCAAGTCCCATACAAGTTCGAAAATCAATGCCAATCAATTGATTTTTTAGGAGTTATGCCCCTTGGAAGTGTAAATTCTATGGAAAATTGCATTTTAAGAGCTATCAAGCCTATAGTTTTTGTCAAATTTTGATGACATTTTTTATCAAAGGTTTATATCAGCAATATCTTGGACGATTTCGAATATAAGTGCTGATCATTTTTTTAAAATAAATTATGTCCCTTTCAAATGTGAAAATTACATTGATAGCGATCTCACCCCAACAAGTCTTGTAGGATATTTATGAAAAAAGTTTAAAAGAATCAAAACATTAATACATTAGAGTTATTACCTTTGGTATATTCAATATGTACAGCGGCGGGGGACATTAAAGCGCAAAGAAATGTCCGTAACTAATAACTTTTCATAACTCTTAAATAAGTTTTGACGTCTCGAAAACTATTCACAATAAGAAAAATCATCTTTATACTGAAAAAGAAAAAAAATGCACTTAGCAAATCAAAATGAAATAATAATTAAAACCATTTTTTTAATTGAGGGACTTGAATTTAAAATGACGAATTTCTTAAACTATCATAAAACGTTTGAGATACGGAAATGCTAATATGGTAAATAAATCTCATAATAGGATACAATGGCCGTATACACACATCCTGAAACATAAAAGAGGGAAAAGGCTAATTTGGAAAAGAAGAGTAATAATCTAATACAAATGAAAGGCAAATAACTGATATGTTGTAGATATTTTTAAATTGATAAAAACAATTAACAGAGAAATAGATACCCTAGAACCCCAGACTATGGTATAGAAATATGTGATCACCTGTATCTTTCCCATTTGGTAATAAATTTATGCTTAAGCGAAACGTCTGTTAAGCCCAGTGCACGTCTGTGTTGACATAAAATATCATTGATATCGACATATGAGAAAGTCTTAAGGGAAGGACAGTAAATCGTTATTATACCCCACGCAACGAGTTGCGGAGGGTATAATGTTTTTGACCCGTCCGTCCGTCTGTCCGTCAGTCCGTCAGTCCGTCAGTCCTGTTTCTTGTCATCGCAACTCCTCTTAAACCACACAACAGAATTTCACGAAACCTTTTTAGATAATAAGGACATACTATGTAGTTGTGCATATCGACAGGAAATTACGATTCAATTTTTTTTCTAGGAGTTACGCCCCTTTGAACTTATTTACTTTAATGTACTACTGCAACAGTTTTTCATCTCAACTCCTCTGAAACCACACAACAAAATTTCATGAAACTTTGTAGATAATAAGGACATACTACGTAGATGTGCATATCGACAGGAAATTACGATTCAATTTTTTTTTAGGAGTTATGCCCCTTTGAACTTATTTGCCCAATATACTACTCAACCTTTTGTCATCGCAACTCCTCTCAAACCACACAACAGAATTTCACACAACCTTTTTAGATAATAAGGACATACTATGTAGTTGTGCATATCGACAGGAAATTATGATTCAATTTTTTTTTTCTAGGAGTTACGCCCTTTGAACTTATTTACTTTAATGTACTACTGCAACAGTTTGTCATCTCAACTTCTCTGAAACCACACAGCAAAATTTCATGAAACTTTGTAGATAATAAGGACATACTACGTAGATTTGCATATCGACAGGAAATTACGATTCCATTTTTTTTCCAGGAGTTACGCCCCTTTGAACTTATTTGCTTCAATATACCCCTGCAACAGTTTGTCATAGCAACTCCTCTGAAACCACACAACAGAATTTCATGAAACTTTGTAGATAATAAAGACATACTATGTAGATGTGCATATCAACAGGAAATTACGATTCAATTTTTTTTTCTTACAGTTATTTTATTTCTCCAGTGACAATGTGGGGACGTGGGGTATGTGAGCGCGCTCACTAAGGTTCTTTAATTTAGGTTTCCAAAATTTTGGAGCGAGTGAATCTGAGGAACTATGAATCTATTTGGCGTGGCATTATGCTCTACATAATCAAAATGACTCATGGTGAATAAATTTTAAAAAGAAAAAAAAACCTTTATTGTGATTAAAAGGACATGTGGGGTTAACGCCAACAAGACAAAAACAATCAAAAGACACAAAGAAGACGACATACAGTCTTTTCAATATGCCATGTTCTAAATCACCCAGAGTCTATAAAAGAGGCGAATGAATTAGACAGAAACAAAGATCTAACTTCAAAACCAAATTTCAATTAATGAAAAAAATTAAGATATTAAGTACAAAAACAACCGACGACGTTCCTGACTTTGTATAGGAATATTGGAATGTGGCGGGGTTAAACTTGTTTTTTTCAGAATTCAATTTTCCCCTTTTTTGATTTCGATCAGTAGATAGACAAAACGTGCACGAAGAACATACATTAAACCAGTCGAGGAAAAGCATATAAGTTAAAAATAACAGATAGCAAAAACTCAAAATATATAACTAATTATATCTTATTAACGAATGATTGCAGTTACTGAAAGCAAGTTAAAATTACTTAACCTGATTATCGTTATAAGCAATCATGCTGTCCTACGCTAAAAATCGGTTGCTGTACTTCTTTTAAGATTTCAATAAAAGGTCAATAACAGTTCAAGAGACATGATCCTGTGAATGCACAAACAAATTATGCTGGAACGCCATCCCGCCATAAAAAAAACCATTTGATCATAGCTTCAAACTTATTATAAGCGAATTTTCTCAAAAAGATACGAGATATTAAGCTCAGCTTTAAAACAATATTATTGTAAAAATGTTATTGTGGAATACCACTTTTTACTAAATTCCTACACGTGAAACAAATCGCTGTATTTATTATAACATTTAGTTTAAGTTTTGAGGGCTGTTCCATAAAAATATACGTGGAATCGAGAGAAGGCACTTTGAAATCTCAACTTTTGGTTGATGTCATACACTGAAGGTATGAGTGACATTCAAAATTTGCCTCTATAGGTGGTTATCCCATTTTGAAAGTGCCTTCTCAGTGTACCATATATGGTTATATAGGACAGCCTTCTCCAAGTTATGATATCTATATTCCTGCCGAAAACGTTTTTTAATAATAAAAATATTACGTTCATTAAAATGCAAGACTTCACTGCATGTACACGCGCATATCATACCAACTGAGAAACATACACGCAATAACAAGGAGCCAGTAAATCATCACCATCGAGGAAACAAAAATTAACAGTATGAATCTTCTTTTTATAATTTTCTTCTTCCATTTTCTCTTCATTGTTGATTTTGTTCCTCAAACTTAGGAAAACTAAATAGTTAGATAATCGCTACAATATAAGTCAGTCGTTTTTTGGGTTCGCACGTTCCGTACAGTCATGAAAAATGAGGAGAGCACATTTTAAGTTATGTATATACTGATTCATATTGACGATAAACTAAATGAATGCTTTATTTTTTTATGAGTTTTTTAAATTTTTTTTAGTGAAGAAAATAAAGAAGGTAAAGACAAATAAACCAATAGGTCAGTATAAAATTATTAACTTTGCATAATTTATGAATAAAAAAATCCATTCGCCCGGAAAAAAATGTTATGTTTAATTGACATTTACATATTTTATTTTCTTGAATTCCTCCATTCTATAACACTCGATGGTTAGTCTGGTGATCAGTGTTAGCTATTATCACCTTTTGTCACAACCTATTACACTCGACTATTAGTCTGATGCAGTGTTAGCTATTATCATCTCTTGTCACAACCTATTACACTTGACGGTTTGTGTGGTGATCAGTGATAGCTATTTTCACCTCTTGTCACAACCTATAACACTCGACGGTTAGTCTGGTGATCAGTATTAGTTATTGTTACCTCTTGTCACAACCTATTACACTCGATGGTTAGTCTGGTGATCAGTGTTAGTTTATTTTCACCTCTTGTCCCAACCTATAACACTCGATGGTTAATCTGGTGATCAGTGTTAGCTATTATCACCACTTGTCACAACCTATAACACTCGATAGTTAGTCTGCTGATCAGTGTTAGCCATTTTCACCACTTGTCACAATTTATAACACTCGATTGTTAGTCTGGTGATCAGTGTAAGCTATTATCACCTCTTGTCACAACCTATTACACTCGACGATTAGTCTGATGCAGTGTTAGCTATTATCATCTCTTGTCACAACCTTTTACACTGGACGGCTAGTCTAATGATCAGTGTTAGCTATCATTATCTCTCGTCACAACCTACAATACTCGACGATTAGTCTGGTGATCAGTGTAAGCTATTATTACCTCTTGTCATTTCCTATAACACTCGATGGTTAGTCTGGTGATCAGTGTTAGCTATTTTCACCTCTTGTCACAAAATATAACACTCGATTGTTAGTCTGCTGATCAGTGTTAGCCATTTCAACTTTTGTCTCAATCTATCAAACTCGATGGTTAGTCTGGTGATCAGTGTTAGCTATTATCACCTCTTGTCACAACCTATAATAGTGGATGGTTAGTCTGCTGATCAGTGTTAGCCATTTTCACCTCTTGTCACAATCTTTAACACTCGATGGTTAGTTTGGTGATCAGTGTTAGCTATTATCATCTCTTGTCACAACCTATTACACTCGACGGCTAATCTGGTGATCAGTGTAAGCTATTTTCACCTCTCGTCACAACCTACAACACTCGACGGTTATTCTGGTGATCAGTGTTAGCTATTATTCCCTCTTGTCATTTCCTATAACACTCGATGGTTAGTCTGATGATGAGTCTTAGCTATTATCATCTCTTGTCACAACCTATAACACTTGACGTTTAGTACGGTGATCAGTTTAGCTATTTTCACCTCTTGTCATTACCTATAACACTCGATCGTTAGACTGGTGATCAGTGTTAGCTATTATTACCTCTTGTCATTTCCTATAACACTTGATGGTTAGTCTGGTGATCAGTGTTTGCTATTTTCACCTCTTGTCACAACATATAACACTCGATCGTTAGTCTGCTGATCAGTGTTAGCCATTTCACCTCTTGTCACAATCTATCAAACTCGATGGTTAGTCTGATGATCAGTGTTTGCTATTATCATCTCTTGTCACAACCTATAACACTCGACGTTAAGTATGGTGATCAGTTTAGCTATTATCACCTCTTGTCATTACCTATAACACTCGATCATTAGACTGGTGATCAGTGTTAGACATTTTCACCTCTTGTCACATTCTATAACACTCGATGGTAAGTCTGGTGATTCAGTGTTAGCTATTTTCAACTCTTGTCACAACCTATAACACTCGATGGTTAGTATGGTGATCAGTGTTAGCTATTTTCACCTCTTGTCACAACCTATAACACTCGATGGTTAGTCTGGGATCAGTGTAAGCTATTATCACCTCTTGTCATAACCTGTAACACTCGACGGTTAGTCTGGTGATCAGTGTTAGCCATTTTAAGCTCTTGTCACAATCTATAACACTCGATGGTTAGTCTGGTGATCAGTTTTAGCTTTTATCATCTCTTGTCACAACCTTTAACACTCGACGGTTAGTCTGGTGATCAGTGTTAGCCATTGTAAGCTCTTGTCACAATCTATAACACTCGATGGTTAGTCTGGTGATCAGTGTCAGCTTTTATCATCTGTTGTCACAACCTATAACACTCGATGGTTAATCTGGTGATCAGTGTTAGTTATTATCATCTCTTGTCACAACCTATAACATTTAACGGTTAGTCTGGTGATCAGTGTTAGTTATTATCATCTCTTGTCACAACCTAGAACACTCGATGGTTAGTCTGGTAATCAGTGTTAGCTATTTTCACCTTTTGTCATCCGCTGTCTGTCCGACAATTTACACAAACCCTTCTGAAATCATATAACCAGTTTTAACCTAACCTGAACTTAGTTGTTTAACACTTGTCGAATTAGCCTTTTTGACGACTTATTTTAGCCATACAACTATAGAACGTGATAAAGGAGGATAACGTTTACATCTGTGATTGTCATATAATTGCAATTCCTAATGTTGCTAGTAATAGATGTTTCTGATAAAATCTCTTTTACTTATTTAGGCTTATCCAAAAAAAGTACTTCTGAAAGTATGAAATTTAACAAAATATATTTGGGGAAATTATTGAAAAAGATCTATGTTAATTAATTGATCTAAATTGTTTGATTCAAATCTGATAGTAACTAGAAATAAGTATTTAAAAACAAAAATACAACACAGAATTATACTTGATATTGTATATTGAAATAAATTAAAATAAAACTTTCCATTCTATTTTCATCACAGAAATCACGAAAATATAATTGAAAACAAACTCTGAAAGGTTAAAATGCGAAATCAAATATTAGTTATTCTGATATTGAGGCCAATTTAAGGTATATTTGACACTTGGCGACATAGATTTTGATGGTAGATACAGAAAGCTTAATTTTTTTTGCAGAGACAAACAATTTGTATATTCTGTAAAGAATTGCAGAAAGGAAATACGTGAAAAAATAGTTTTCTAATATTGCATTCCGTGTATTTTGAGCATGCGAAACTTTGTTATCTTCATAAATAAACAAATGAAGGAGAGGCAAAAGATACCAAAGGGACATTCAAACTCATAAGTCAAAAACAAACTGACAACGCCATGGCAACTTTGCTAGTTGATTATTTGCTGACTAGAACGTCATATTTCCTATTGAATTATTGAGAGTGAAGTAAAAAAATTATGATGTAAAACAACTTATTCTTATTAACCAAAAGTGCTAATGATATAATCTGTTTTTCTTCGACTATGTTTTTTTTTTATTGCATCTACGTATTTTCTATCTTTTTAAATATATATATACAATAAAGTTATTCCGGATTCCTAAAACAGTGTCGTTCATACAGTTTTCAAAATTGTTGGTGTTGAATTTTAAAGAATTCGCAAACTTATTTAGAAATACAATTCATTAGAACAAATTCGATTTTCTACAGGGGTGTGGTGTTTATATGAATACATATTTCATCAAAAATGTCAAACTAGTGCAAAAGGCAGTCATTATCAGTACAATGGAAAAGGAGAGGTGTCCCTGCTGATGACAATAAAACGCTTACGATACAACCTATGAGGGTAATAGGTTGGTTTTTTTTAAAGGGACAATATTTCTAGTATCTAGACATTTGTAGAGACAAAAATATTTTGTTTGACTGTTTGTATGTACAGATCATGTTCAGTATATTTGTACATATTTAAGGGCAGTTCATATGTCAAACAAAAACTAATTGTATTGCATAAGACCTCACAGTAGTTAGAAAGGGTACACATACAATATTTTACTGTGTGCAAAGAAATTGTAACTAAAAAAAAAATCCATGTATTCTTTTTATTTTTGTCTGTTAAGATAGGTCTTTATTGTTGCTGTTGTTATTTTTTTTTATTTTTCAAATTAAATAAAAAGGCTGGTTCTTGGGACTTATCTATGTCAATCTATATTCATTATTCTTTTTGAATTCTAAATTTAAATATATTATAATAACATGACCACTTTCATTGGAAACAGAAAAACAAGTCAAGAATAATTTAACATGAACTAAGAAAACATAATATATTGTAACCTTATTGTGTGAGGAATTAATTTATAATTAGCAAAACAAAGAGTTGAAATCTGTTGTATATGTCATTGTAAAAAAATTGGTTTGTTTTATTTGTAGAATTGGAACTGGGAACAGTTTATCAATATATATGTTTCTGATTGGAACTCCTGTGGAAATAAAAATTACAATTATCTTTTCTAAAATATGATATTTTTTTTTATAAGAAAAATATTATTTTTTTTAAATATTCAGATATTCAATCTAAACTTCTTAAGTCCTGTCAACTTATTATTAGTTAAATTCCATTGGTTATTTTTGAACCCCTGAATTATGAAAAGTACACTTTTTTAACACACAAGTACAAGTAATGAGCTAAGAAAGACAACTCCAACTTCAGTTTACCAAGTGATTGCATTACAAGTGTAAAATGGCCGCCGCGGAATTTGACAGCCTGTTTTTCAGTCGTGTTTATTTAGACTTATAAGTTATAAATTCGACTGTGGAACAATTATTCCCATACAACTTTGATTAAGGCACATTTGAAATTGTTAACTACCGTTTTTTATGTGAAATTAGCAGATGAAAAACAATAATAAAAACCGGTCACAAAAAAATGATAATTTCACGCATCCAACGTCATTTTTTTCTCACAAAAGGTTGCAAAACACAAAGAAATGGTATTGTCATGTATAATTACTCATTAAGCTACGATCCTTACACACTAAGATGTATCACCGTCGAGTTTGACACCGATTTGTAGAGAAACAACGAACGTATTTCCAAAAACGTCACTTTTTCTCCCTGCACATGGCAAATTAATTCAGGCCAGTCAAACTGCGCGAAAAATTTGAACAGGCCACACAAAGTCGCGGAAAAAAAATTCAGAAAGGAAAGTGTTAATATTACATCCCATATTTTCATAGATTTCGAAATAAGATTGACTTAATTGCCCTCACGACATAATTCCATTTCCGCCATCTTGGGTTCTCTCGTTTGTTTGAGTGCTGATATCATTTTACCCGGAACCTTTCTAGTGCGTACCAAACTTTTAAGGAGAAATGTAATATCGGTAAAACTCTGTATGTTTTATGTATAGCAATAAAGGAAGACCAGTTGAATATCGACAATTTTTTTCCCCAAAGAAATCTAAATGAAATATTTGATACTATAAAAACCATATTGCACATCTACAGATCATATTCAATTGTTCTAAATTAAATCTATTCTCTTCAAGTAGCTCTTATAACGACTACGGACTCTATCGAACTTAAAAATAACAATAAGACAAATCAATGATGAAAGAATAGCAGAGAGGCGAAAGATACCAAAAGAGACATTCAAACTGATAAGTCGAAAATAAACCGACAACGAAATGCCAAAAAAATAAAAACGACCAGTAGACAAACAGCAGTTTATAAAACACAAAACACAACGTTGAAAACCAAAGACTGACCAACACGAAGCCCACAAAAAACTGTGAGTAATCTCAAATCCGGCTCACATGTGGCACCCGTCATGATGCTCATGTACGTACAAACCTGGTGATAAGTCTAATTCTGTAGACGGTAGGTCACATTCGAGAAAAAAGGATGTGATTGTGGTAACGACAATTGGAACATATCCCTCGTCATCTGTAAAACAGCAATAAATATTCTAGTATGTTTGTTAGTTCACATGGTACTGTGTTTAAGTCAGTTATTTAATTACCGTATAATTTGAATACACATTTTTTTTTTATTTTTTAGTTAAGAATCAAAAGAAAATAACTAAACAAGGTGAGTATATTTTTCAATGTATTATATGCATTTTTTTCTAATGTAAAATATATCTTGTCTTTTTGTTAACATATACAATATATTGTCTGTTTATTAACACATAAAACTTTCTGTCTTTTTATTCACACATAACATGTATTGTCTTTTTGTTAACACATAAAATATATGGTCTATTTGTTACGACATGAAGTATATGGAATTTGTGAACATCGAGGTAATTATGGTTTTATGTGCATACCTGACGTACCATGCATGGGAATTGTGACTCTTTTCCCTTATTTTGTGTTGTCTGTTATCATATAAACGTTAATTAAAATCTCCTAAATATGTACAACTGGTAAAGTTGGAATCATACTTCACCACATTTTTTTGAATGTATATTACTTATTCTATAATGAGAAGTTGCAGGTGGTTGATAGATTTTTGTTTTACTTGATGTGCGTTTGATATGAGTCATCCTTGAACGTAGAATATTTGATAGAATTGACAGGTGTCTGCTCTGTTTTCAACCATCCTCGCGGATATTGTCCTGATATGAGGTACTAGTAATAGTAATGATAATTGAATGAAAAATTGCGACATAGGGTTATAACAGTGTTTCTCGTTTCTCGTTTTTTTTATATAGATTAGACCGTTGGTTTTCCTGTTTGAATTGTTTTACTCTAGTCATTTTGGGCCCTTTATAGAGTGCTGTTCGGTGTGAGCCAAGGCTCCGTGTTGAAGGCCGTACTTTTACCTATAATTGTTTACTTTTTATACAATGTGACTTGGAAGGAGAGTTGTCTCATTGGCACTCATACCACATCTTCTTATTTATAGTTATTAATTCTGTCATTACTAAAAATGGTAAAAGTTAGTATTTCGTGTTTATGCAAATGGGGTCTGATTTTTGGAAGGAGCGTGGTTTTGATACTTTCATTTTTGTTGACATGCGCTTAAACCGGATTTTACTTTTCACAAGATTTCAAGGGTCTAATTCCGATTAAGGAAGAACTAAATCAGCTAGCCGATCGTTTTTCTCGTTTGTAAAATTACTTCAGACTTGAAGTAAATATTAATTTAATTTAGAAAATGGCACTAAAAGTTGTGAATGACCGAGAATCCTGGCAATGCACTTTCAAGTCTTTCTGATGTTTGAACGGAACAAGTACGAGGATGGTACCGCAACATTCTTCTTAAAAAATGATTACGGTGATAGCAATCACTTTGGAAGTGAATTTTTGATTAAAATGTAAAGACTGTTATAACAACAACAGATGTTTGTAATTAAAAAGATGATATTTTCTACATGCATTACATGTATTTAATAGTGGTGGTAAGTTATACCCCAAGAATTATCTGGATGGCTTAAAATGGAACAATTTCGATACAGGGGTGCCTGTCCATACAATTATTGAACTCAATAATTTTCTGGCTCCTGTGAAAGAAACTTTTTGCCTTTTTTTTTTATCTCTTTCTTGTAACTTAACTGACATTTATCCAGGACCTCCCTAAATCTACTTGATAATTTTGACCATACTTACCCCTTTATGTCTTAAAATGACAAAAGATATAGGAGCGTCTTCAGTTTAGGACTTACAGTATATGATATCATCTTATTCTATGTAGTGTTTAACAGATCCACCTAAGGGGACACCCAACACTTTGACAAATAGATATAAGAAGATGTGGAATAAGTGCCAATGAGACAACTCTCCATCCAAGTCAAAATTTATAAAAGTAAACCATTTTAGGTCAAAGTAAGGTCTTCAACACGGAGCCTTGGCTCACACCGAAAAGCAAGCTTATAAAGGGCCCCAAAAATTACTAGTGTAAAACCATTCAAACGGGAAAACCAACGGTCTAATTTATATAAAAAAAGAGAAACGAGAAACACTTATGAACCACATCAACAAACGACAACTACTAAACATAGAGTTGGATCATTTAATTTTCATAAGATTTTGACAAGATGATTAATTTGACCTGTTGACAAAAATATATAAATTTACAGGAATAGTTTCATTGGATATAAATATAGTAGTTTGACAAACTCTAATTTTGATCATTGAGAAGTTTTTTTAATCTTTACTTATAGTTCGTGATTTAAACGTTCAGTCTATTTTTAAAGAGTTAACTCCCTTGCTAACAATACTCAGATTTATTTCTGGAGTTTGATATGTGTTCACTTTTCACAAAAAATGAGATATGTATACTAAAAACTGACATTGACAAATTTCACCAACAGGCAGATATATCCTTACCTACACAATTATAGGGCCTGTATAAAGTAAGAGACATAATAATTGCTTGCGACATTCAAAATTTACGAAACCACGGAATTTAAGCGTACACGTACATTTTGTAATGACTCCTGACATCAGATAAGTTTGTGAGACACGTCCTGAAACTCATTTTATTTACATAAATATACGACATAAATGCACTCTATCTGGGTTTAATAGATAATTCACGAATAAGTCCGAACGACTTATTTCACTAAAAATCTTACGAGAAAAAATAAGTCATGAACATTTCATTATAACTTACGATCAATTTTTATCATAAGATTTTTTGTGAAAGAGCTCCAGACTCTATATAATATTTTTCGCTTATTCTCCTTTCGCCAATGTAGAATTGCGGGAAAAGGTTCCAAAACAATCTATATTAACATTGAAAGAACACTAAACAGATATGTAAAACGCATAACTATTCTTTCCGTGTCCTTGACTGTTCAATATAAAATGAGATTGCATAAACAAGAGTTTATTTCATTTATCAGTTTGGTTCTTTGAATATCATGTTGTTATAAAATAAGTGGGACCGAGACTGTGACGAGTATAATGTATTACACCAGCAACGCATTCAACACATTTACCACATTACCACTCCACGATGTATGCAATAATTTTTAGTAAACATTCTACCTTGGTACAGTATAAAAGTGCTATGATAAAGACAAAATCACTGAAATTGAAAAGGAAATTGCAGAAATGCAAGTTTACATGTAAATCTCAGGAAAAATTGCATATAACACCATTGAACGACAACCAATGTGTTACGTTAAGCTTTCACCATACAAGTGTATTGATTGACAGGTGTTATAATCTTTGCAACATCCAAATTGGGATACAAAAAGGTAGCAAGTTTGAAATTTATAAAACAATTTGCTTTCATTCGAGTTTTGAAGTTAACATATGTTTCACTCTGGAATTCAGATATTTTTCAGTCATAACATCAAGAAGTAGGCAATAAGGGCAAAAATCGACACTATATTTCCCCAAAAAATAAAGCTCCTAAAGAGTTTAATGATACTCACTTAAATATTCATTGTTATGCATAATTATAGAAATTATGTTCTTCTCATAAGTAGTAATGGGGAAATGGTCATTAATACGACCAGTCTAGCAACTGATAATTCATTAAGATAGTCCCCCACCCATTTCTGATTTCTTAAGCTTATTGCTCATACTAGTATATAATTTTAATGACAATATTATTGAAAGTTATTGCTTTAGTTTACTCTTTGTCGAATGAAATGAAGCAAATGTATATATATCCAGTGATACAAGAAAAAAATGAGAGATTTTTTTTTTAGTGATATTAGGCCAATAATTACATCCATGCTGAAACTATAATGTACATTCTTACAAAATCGAGGAACGTATTTTTCCTTCGAAATACTATTCTGTTCATTTCATATATTATTTCCATTGTTCCCTTCATATCGATATTCTTCGTCAGATATATATTAATACATATTCTTATATATAAGCTCACATTTCAATACAATTTCACTAGGTCTCTAGCAGGGTCGATCACGGTAAATTTAAGAATACAGTTGCGAGATAATATCCCAAAAATTACAGACTTTAACAGACCATGAAATCTACTAATATAAAAAAAAATGATCGACAATATCATCGGAAAATATAGATATCATACAAAAAGAAGATAATCACATCAAGATATTATATATAAACTATACAGGACATAATTTATGATTGAATGATTGTCCCCTGTTTAGCATACATGGCCAATAATTTCGTGCATATTCCGGACGTGAACAAATGAACATTCAAACCATATGCATGATGTAGGTTTTCCAAATTAAGTCGGCAAGGACGAAGTCGTAGGGCGGGACATTTATACTGCCACTTTAAAAAAGGGTGTGATGGATAGGGGCACAAATTTTGCCCTCCAGCAGGCCATTAATTGAGTTAGAGTTGTTCGAAAGTCTTCATTTTTACCGTGACTTTTATACATCCTACACAGCCAAACTGATGTTCAACTTCAGCAAAGGTTATACTGCCGTGGGAAGGAAGACAAGGAATGAACATATTTCTTTACCTCAGTTAATTATCGTACGAAATAATGTACGAATATGGCAAAAAATTCGGTTGGATAGTGGTCGCATGACAATGTTGATAAACAGATATGTCGAAAAGAGAAAGTAAGGTAGTTCATATACTAGACTTTATATGTCATAACTGTAAAAAATACAACAGTATACAACTAAAAATAGACAAAAATTGAAAAGGACATAACCTAAAACGAGAGACGAAATTACATATGTCATAATTATAATTTAAATATATATACATAATTGTGTGTATATTTAATTCGAGAAACTCGTGTAATGCTAAGTATTTTCACCACAAGAGCAAAGGAATATATCTTATTCAACAGAGAACTTGAATTCATTACGTTATTAAATTCTCTTGGATATTACAGTTGTTTGTAGTTTTGTTTGTTGGTTAAGCATTGATTTGTATCCTTGACTTTTCCTTTGGAACATAGCATGTATTTTAAAGTATCTGTTTTGATGCAAAATATAAAATTAATAAATATAAAAATAAATTGCTATTACTATGGACTCATTGGCAATCATACCACAACTTCTTATTACAATCAAGCTGTATATTTAACATAAATATTGAGTTCATAGACGCCATTCTACTCAATGCTAGGCAACAACATATACGATATAGACCTAATATTTTCAGATGGTCTGTAGGATCGAGTTGCAACATGACACATTTTAAAAATGAAATTTGGTTGTAGGGCCAAACACGGCTCATATTGCCCCTTGTCCATATTATGAATGCAGAAGCGTTAAAGATGTTTTTAATATTTTTAGAAGAATAAAACGTTACTATTAAAGAAAAATTGCACATTTATACAGAATCAATATACTTTTTTTTTCGCGAATTCTCCCCTCAACACTTTCAGAACTGAATTACTTTTTAAGACGACCGTATAGCCAGAGATTTTTAGCACTAGCTGCTTCGTGGACGGATTTAATTTGACCTGAGCATGAAAAAAAAAATCGTCTCGGAACTTCAAGCAACGATCAGCTCTCTTTGGCGACTATTTTTCGTGAAAAATACTTTAAGGTAAAATCTTGCATTACTTGTTATGAGTTGTGGTGTCCTTTGAGCCATGACAAAAGGAAACAATCGTTACAGCTTCGAAACTGATTTTGTTTACTGACTTTATGAGTGCAAAATCAATGTAATGTTCATGTCAACAACAAAAAAAAAAGAGAGACAACTCAACTGGAATTGACGGACGACAGCTCTTTTATAAGAATCGGTTATGTTTTTTTAGTCACTTTGGGTATTTTAGAAATTCTTGTGACCGTTCTATGACCCATAAATTATGTATTTGTTCAACGATTAAACAAATATTCTATTTGTTATCATAGATTACTTTACTGTCAATTCAGATAGAGTGACATTTCCAACAAAGAAATATGCATGCAACCAAAAAGCAATTTAAACAGATAAAAATATTATTATACACCCAAAAAATGAATGAATAAATAGATAAAAAAGAAAATTTAAAAGAATTACTATTTGAGGGGATGAAATATTTTGATTTAAGGTTATTAAACAAAAAAAAAATGTTGTTATTTATATCTTTCTTTGTCTTTCAACTTTTTTCAGTTTTTCATTGGTTATTTCGCTATGAATACTACTGGGTCTATTTAATCAGTTATGATTTTGTTTTTGTTTGAAGTTTTTAAAAAAATAAGTTAAGAAATTGAAACAGTAAAATCTATTGATCCAAACTTGTCCACAACAAACAACATCAAATTGTAGATTTTCTAAACAGATCGCACTAACAGTAACAATAATTTTATTCGGAATGGAACACATTGAACCAAGCTGGGAGTCAGATATGTTTTCCAGTCTAGACTTTGAGTGTCCTGTTGATTCATGTTGCGGCACCAACTTGTTGTTCCAAAAACACCAGCTAAGTGTCTCTGTATTAGACGATCGTTAACTGGGAAAAGTGATAAACGACCCTTACGAACTGCTCCCCCTTGTATCCGGCCTATAAGCCAATCTGCCTCGGCCTTTTGAAACACAAGAAAGGCTGTCGGTTTCTTACCAGATGAGGAGAGAGCAATACATTTCAACATTTCTAGAATGTGAAGAATTTCCCTTTAGCTATTTTAAGGTTATGTCTTGAAAAAAAATTGACTCATTTGAATTGTTTTACATACGTCATTTCGGGGCCTTTTATAGATTACTGTGCGGTATTGGTTTTGCTCATTGTTAAAGGCCGAACGGTGACCTATAGTTGATAACTTCTACATCATTTGGTCTCTGGTAGAGAGTTGTCTCATTGGCAATCATACCACATCTTTTTTTTTGTATTGATTTGTCCTATCCAACCAATCCATGAACTGCGTGTAATCACTAATCATTTGTAAACATGGTATCTCTTGTTGAAAAAAAAACATTTCTCTGCACAACCCCAACTGTGTGGTTAAAACAAGGTTTATATTTTTTTTTGTCCTTCCATACAATAGCAGCTAATACATATTTCTGCCTGAACTGTATGCCCACATGAATGTTAATTCCTTTGGTTTTTTTTCTCAAAATATCTTTTTGAACCTCTCTTTTTTCAATCTGCCTGTACCACATGCCCCAGTGCTGTAATTTCGAAAAACGTCTAAATAGTGTGGGAGAAGTGAAGGAATTGTCTTTGTAAATATGATAGCCTTTACAGCTTTACATAATTAACCTGGTATTGAAACTGAAAGTAGACGGTGCTTTTTTTCATTTTAAATGATGCCTTGAGGCATCACATGGCCGTTACCAGGTGATGCTCTCGGGCATCAAACGGCGGTTGTCAGGTGATGCCTTGAAGTATCTTAAAAGGGTTTGAATGCAAGTAAAGCAGTGAATATCAATTTTAATCGCCATACATTTTTTAATATCTGTCTGGGGGTATTTTTCAGTGAAGAAAATAAAGAAAAATATGTCAAAAGGTACGTAGTACTAGTTATACATTTTTTAATCATAAAAGAGGGGGAGGGGATAACTCTTATGAAGGAATGTTAAAGAAATTTAATTTTTTTACATGTAGTAAGTCCGGTGACACCATTTATTCTTTTTATTTTTAAAGCATATTATAAAACCTATCTTTAATATTTTATTTTAAAATCATATCTGACAGATTTCTTTATGTTCACAAAAAGTATTTTCTCATGAATTTTGCCAAACTTGTAGCTTAAAAATTAGCTCGTTACCCGTACTTTTGTTATTTGTGGAAAAAGCATAGTAAAAACTTTATTTTGGCAAAGTAGAAATACAATGCTATGTGAGGAAATATTTAGTTAATCATCTACCTTATATATAATTTTTTTTTCTCCAGTATTCAAATACCTTACACAAGGGTGGACCTGTGGATGGTTATGACCTTTGTTAGATATGTGACAAAATACAATAAGTGTTATAATTTATAGCAGATTTAATATGTTTTATGAAGGTGACGATAATCAGTAGATATCAACTTCAATAGTAATGACAAATTAATCCAAGGGAAATTTCAGAGTAAAACGATTAACCGGTGCACAATAGACCAGGACTACATATTGGGCTGGGTCCCTAAACTTAAGCTGAAAATATCCATAGTGCTTATTCTATTCTTTCATATCATGAAAGGTAAGGCTTCTACATTGAAATTGTATACACAGCGTAAAATAGAAGAACTCAATATAGATGAGCTTAGTTTTAAGGCTAATTCTGCAGTTTTTTAAATTGAAACCAAACGTGAACATAAAGAATTCATGAATTTAAATTTGAGCTATTGGCAAGACGATCATAAAACCTATCATCAGACCATTTCACATATGAGGCTCATTTAGCTTGATTGATTGTTGGTATATTGTCCATTTTAGAGGCAAATCAATCGAAAAGTTTAGTTAACTTCAGATATTGAAATCTCTTTTTCGTGACGATAAGACATACATGAAAGAAATGAAAAAAGGTAATTCGGTGCTTTTTTTGCTTTCGTGCTATTTCACAATATATTGTAAAATATAATGAATTAGCAGTCTCATTCAGTTGAAGTATGTCTTCCGAATCAAACCTATTCATACCAAATTTATCTCCCCCAATATCAAACAAAATCTGCTTAGGGCATATATTATGTTATGCAAAACAGTGATTTAAGGGGATCTTTATCATCGTAGTGTTCCATTCCTGACAATCCTGAAAGTGTTATGTAAGAGAATTTTAAACGATTGTCAAAACAGAATACCATACAGCAATTACATATTACTTTAACCAAAATTCCGCATTTTCGAGAAAAGTGATACAATGTAAAATGCATATTTTCGCTGCTTTTTACATACAGTCGATGCATAGTTTATATCCTATTAATACAAATAGTTACTTGCCTCTTGAATTACAAATATTACATATATATTTTTTTAATATTCAGATGCAGTTCAACGAGTTTTAATTGCATGCAAAATATCTTAATAATCCGAAATATCGCCCAATTACGTATACTTTCAAATCTTTATATTAATTCAAAATCAGAAAACAGTCCATATAAGATAATTTACATAAAATGTAGGAAAAAGCCAAAATACATCTATACTTATTGTTTAGAAAAGCCCTAAACTGATGGTTAGGTCTGTACAGATTGCGGTAATAATTTTTTTTTGAATTTTAACTCCTTTGTCAATCAAAGGATTTTTTGGCGGATGGAATATTTATTTGAAGTTGTCAGGGGCGGGTCCAGGTAAGGGCGTAATGGGCGTACCCCTTTAAAAAAAAAAAAAAAAAAAAAAAAAAAAAAAAACTATCGTTTTCTGCTTATATTGTATTGAATATGGCAATTTATCATATTCATTAATTAAACACATACTCTGATTTCTTTTTATACTGATTCCCCCATCCGATAGGTGACTTGGACAACTTTTTTAAACAACCAAAGCGGTAAGTAAATCTATACATGAAATGGTTGTTTTGTGTGACACTTCCCCAATTGGCCATTCTATATCTACCTGGGAGATACTCGCTATATATTTGATACCGGGTATGTTCCGACAAACGGGGTTGCATTTTCAGCTAAATTGTCTGAAATGGGGTTAGGTTTTTTTCGCCTTGCATTGGAAGGGGTCAGATTTGACTATCTAGAACGGGGTATTATAAATACAATGTTACACTATTGTTTCAGATAAGGGTGAATGTTTGGTACCATTAAAACGTTTAAACCCGCTGCAACTGTTTGCACCTGTCCTAAGTCAGGAATCTGATGTTCAGTAGTTGTCGTTTGTTGATGTGGTTCATAAGTGTTTCTCGTTTCTTGTATAGATTAGACCGTTGGTTTTCCCGTTTGAATGGTTTTACACTAGAAATTTTTGGGGCCTATATAGCTTGCTGTTCGGTGTGAGCCAAGGCTCCGTGTTGAAGACCGTACTTTGACCTATAATGGTTTACTTTTATAAATTGTGACTTGGATGGAGAGTTGTCTCATTGGCACTCATACCACATCTGTTTATATCTACTTAATTGAAAACAACGTTCAAACCTATGATTGCGTTGGATAAAAACCGCAATTTTTATACGTGTGCATGCAAAACAAATTTCTTGGTAAAGGGGTCTAAATACAGCACAAACAACATTTTCCAAAAGACCAAACGGTGAAAAGGTATATTTTAACAAAACGGGTATATCAAAAGTTCAGAAAAAGTTATCGTTAAAGATTTATTTTTCATTTTTCATGCCCATTTCACATAACCTTTTAACTGAATTTACAACTTCTTCCAAAGATTTGATATCCACATGTTAATCAATACATAATTTGAATGATCCGAAGGCAGACTATTTTCACCAATTTGTCTATCATGGAGTCTGTTATAATACTTCATAATTTGATGCTAAATTGTTGAAATCCAGGAGCTTCTGACCTTTCCCATGGACCCTATTCCAGGACAACCGGAATTACGCCTCCCGTTCATAAAATCCTGGCCTAGGACTATTGAAATGTAAAGTAACGCCCTAGAATTTGGAATTTCTCGTTATTTGTCTACTGCTGTTAAGATCCATCCAATCATTTTAATATACCATAGACAATTAATGGAGAGAATTTGGCATAAAATATATCAAACCCTGACACTTTAACTATAAAATGTACATGCTCCAAGTCAGGAACCGTTACATTAGTGCATTTCACAATTATTTTATGTTTTTTAGCCAAAAAAAGGTCCAAAAAAATTTTCGCCTCGCTCCGCAAAAGATTGTATTCTACGCCCCCTCTTTCAAATATCCTGGAAACGCCCCTGGTTGTTGCTATGCCGGGTTATTTATTTTTTGACTTTGTACACAATTATTACCTGTATTTTGTGGACCATATAAGTGATATTTAGTCTTTTTCATCCTGTATTGTGCAAGCTGTATTTTTTTCGGTTGTTACCTGTCCAGGCCAGCATATTTAATCATATAAATTATTTTTTTCTTCATATAAGCATATAGATATTTACTTCTGATAAAAACAAATGTCAAACTGACAACGTGTGATATTCATTTACAACACGCCTGCATCTGATCCCTACTTTCGACTGAATGAAATTGCTCTATAAACGTTCTAGCATATTCGCGCTGATATATCAGTTTTTTTGGGGGGGGGGGGGGGGGGGGGGGGGGGGGGGTTGTACGAATATTTATGCATTTTATAAAAAGATGTATATATATTTTGTTTTATGAGCTTTTTGGGGTCAACCTTCTCTGTAATTATACATTAACGAAAGAGAGGATAATAAGTTAAAATATAACGTAGTGCATTTTGTATGGTTATGTACAATCCAGAACGTACCTGTCATACAAAGTTATCTTATTCTAGGAGTCATTACAAAATATACGAGTACGTTGAAATTTACAATTTATTTAACTGTTTTAGTAGTAGTCAGAAAATGTCAATAGCCAAAGTGGCTAATCACTATTTTTTTGTTTAGCCACAACATTATGTGTCACCGTTTAGGATCACGAAGTGATCCGAACCTGCTAGGGGGGTTAAGGGGCATGCCCCCCCCCCCCCCGCCCAGAAAATTTTGGGAAATTAAATGTGAAATCCTGCGTTCTGAGGTTACATTTGTGTAACCGGAAGTGTATATAACTAAAAAAAAAATTCTCCAGGTCAGATGAAAAATTCTCCTTCCCTTCAATAAATGAAAATGCTGGATAAATTGCAACTGTAGTTATGTATAATTTAAAATTTTATCCAAGCTATGTTTTTTATGTTTGGTTAATAATAATGTATCCAGTGGATGTATCTGTTCCGGACCATATAAGTATTTGGGCCATACGCGTATGGTCATGACCGTATGTGTATATACTCATATGGTCCGGGTTACAAACACGATGAATGTTGAAACGTTCCTTTCACTGTAAATGGCATAACGTTTGACCCTTCGATGTGTCATGAATAAAAAGCTTCCAAATATGAAATTTTGACTTATTTAATCATATGGTAAAATTATATCCTTATTACATGATTAATAAAATAATGTCACTTTTACTCACAAGTTGAAATTATAGTAAACGAAATTTTTATATGATCATTATCGATTTTCCTCCGAAACACAATATGTCGGAAAACAACTTCAAGAAATATCTAAATAAACTGTTAACCAGTAAGTCGACGTTTTACCCATAGAAACTTCGTGCATTGAATCCTCATTTTTCTCGCTTTATTTTGGTGTTTAAATTTGATTTTACTAAATTAAAGTTTCTTAAGCATTTCAAATTATGTTTTGTTATTTAACGTGTCCCTGTGCCTATTCAAACGATCTTACAATAACAGTTGTCCATCTACTATCATGTAGAAAATAAGAAAGAGGGACAACTGAAAAAAAAAAACTAATCTTAATATCATCGGAGACAAAAGAAAAAAGTGCCTGTGATTTCACGTGCAAACGAAAACGTCGACAGGATACATGCGCGTTAAAGGTAAGATAACAGATGTATCAAGATTCAGACACGATGTGAAAGGTAAAGGATTTCAGAGAGTAGCGTGTGCTGATTTTGGTTCGGAAAACGGGTTTGTGTTCCTGCTAAGGAAGTTATGATTTATTTGAAAAATACCTATATGGTCAAAATACTCATATGGTCCGGCCCGTTAATAACAAAACAAGTATATACTCATATGGTGCGACCATACGCGTATGATCGGACCAAATGAGTATACCCATATGGTTATGACCATACGCGTATGGTCAAAAAACTCATATGGTCCGGAACATATCCATTTTTCCTGAAACGTTGAATGATACAAACTGGCACCAACAGTAGTCTCTAAAATTTGGAGTGAGGTTAGAGTGTTTGCTTCGCATTAAAAGCCTCACTGTAACTTTGAGATGAAGATCAGCAATATAAGCGCTGTTCCTTTGTTTTTTATTTTTCCTGTTCATGTACTGATTTTGCGTCATGAAGATGGGTTAGCATATCCGATTTCCTTTTGTATTGCATTTAGTGAGTTAGTGTTGTCTTCGTGCCATATATATCCGTTCTTTTTGTTTTCCATAATATAAAATTAACAAACACCAATTTGAAATTATGTAACACTTTATCAAACTACAGAATCAATAAGGTCAGATTCGTCGGCCATGTTAAAAACATAAAAAGTAAAAGAAAACTCGATATTGGAAACGGATTTTTGCGCCCGGAACCGTTAAATTTGAAAATATTTTTTTCCCGGATATGACTTAAAAGACCCGTTTTTTGTGTTTGGTTTTGCCAATTGCTTTTGTTAACATCTTGTCAGCTGAACGTTTGTTCGAATCAACGCTTCTGTCTTGAAATTTGACAAAGATTTTTTCCCGTTCATGTAAATTTTCGTTCGCTAATGTGGCGATTGCAACTGAATTTCTATTAGCCACATAATAAAATCATTTGCCCATGGCGAGTGTTGCGACCTTTACCGCTAACGCACCAATAATAAGTTAATACTCCCCACATATTATGTGGTTTTATAAATTCGAAACAATGCAATTGCATACAAAACACAAAAAATCTTATTTCAAATCTAGAAACATAAGAAAAATTGTGAATTTCAATCAAAGGGTACATATAACACACTGGCGTACAAAATTTTAATCCTCCCCGAGGGTATTAACTCTATTCGAGTCTTATAGAAGAAACGTGCGTCTGGCGTTTAAGGGCATACGATACATTTTGATCCCACGGTGAATTTTTGACGAAAGTTTGCATACAAGCTATTTAGTACCTAGTCAATTCAAATATGTAATACAAAATATACCTCCATGTGCTACTTTTAGAGATAAATGGGGTCGTGATTTTAGACACTTACCGGAAATTTCGGTTTCTTGGACATTTCTATCCTTTGGAAAGACATACTTAACTTTTTTGTTTCAAAAGATAAACGCAAGCGGATTTTTGTAAAAGCATCTGGAATATCTTCTCTACATAAATGTGCTTTGAATTTGTGTAACAATTCTTTGGAGATTATTCATTTTTATCACATTTTTATGATATTAGTCAAAGAACGGCATTTTTGCTGTTTATTTATCTAATTTAAAAAAATTTCATCGTGAAATGTTCATAAAAATTGGCACAAATACTCTTAATACATAATCAAGCCAGATGTCATTTTGAAAAAGAGGGGTCCATGAACTAGTTTTCAACTTAAATCAGTCTGATTGATAAAAATAAGTCGAAAATGCATCTTTTCCAAATATGTCACAGACTGACGTCGTGAAAAATAACATTTTACGTCAGCAACGTCATTACCTCCCCTGTAACCGTATCGTATGCCCTTAAAATTTTAACCCTGCTATCTATGATGTGTTTATATACTCCAATTTGTGAGTTGACTTAAATGGCTATATGTATATATTACGCGAATTCACCATGACATTTCCAGGTAGTTAACAGCTTCATGTATATTACCTGTATCTCGTAAGGTTACGTCACCAGACAGATCCGAAAATACGCACATTGTAATCAAAAGTTTGCCAGAAAAACAGTCATTGGTCCGCTTCTAATTACGTTGTAATAAAATTAGCGTACAAGACTTTAAATGATCATAATTGCCATCACGTCATTCCATAGAGGTAAAATACTTAACAACTCACTGGGAAAAGTTAATAAATGAGTTATAAATTCTAGAGGTTCTCTTGATATGTCGATAAACTTTGTCAATATTTGTTTGTGTTATAACGATTATATTTACATAGAGAGTAAAAAATCGAGTAGGAATGTTTTGTTTGAAATGACAATTTTAATACCAATTTTAGAATTTTTGTTAAGGTAGATTCATGGTATACCGCCATCTTGGATTGTACAATCGCAGTACACAATCGGTCTAGATCTTTGCCTAAATCTACAAATTTGGAGACAAATAGGCAATTTATAGGTTAGACTGTTTATTTGATGAAAGAAAACTTGGTGATTTATTGCATTATCCAAAATGTTTAAATAAATACCAAATAAATGTGTTTTTAGAATCATTTTTTCAACTTGGCCATTTAAGGGGAGATAACTCTTTTAGTAAAAAAATTATACTGGACTGATAGGGAAATTTTAATTTTTTACTTGTAGCAAGAAAACAAGTTCGGTGACACCATTTTTTCTATTTATTTTCTTAAAGCATATAATAAAACCTATCTTTTCATATTTTATTTCAAAATTCTATCTCATAGAGTTCTTTTTATGCACAAAAGTGTGTTTTTTCATGAACAATCTAAGCAAATTTGTGCAATTTCGTACGACCCGTAGCTTGAAAAATAGCACGGTGACCCATACTTTTTATTATATTTTTGGAAAAGGCATAGAAAAATCTTTATTTTGGCAAAGTATAAAAAAATTCTATCTGAGGAAATATATACCTATGATCTACCTTAATCATCTCAAACATATAAATATATAGTCAAAAATATGTTCAGCAAAAATGGTCCCCAATACACGATTTTTCAATAGATAAAAATTAAAAAAAAAAAAAAACAATCATTGCGCTGAAATAAATTCACAAATTTTAGTTTGTGATTTAAATACCGGTCTTCAAATTACCATGATAAACTATTAAATTATAAAGGACAATTTTTGACCAATTTTAGCGTTTGGAAAAAAGTTACAGGCAAATATTATAAACAATCATCCAACAAACTCACTAAATGCATTTCATTTGATCGAAACTATCATTTAAAAGTTTATTAGAGTAATTTCCCTTAAAAGACCTTTTTACTTATCAAAAATTGAAAACATTGTGACATGAATGATCTTTACTATACACCGGTCTTTCAACGTGAATGGTCGCCCCTCTTGGTTATATAACTCCTCAACCATTTATACATTACGCCCCCTTTAGGTAATATAACTCCTCAACCATTTATACATTATGCCCCTTTTGGTAAAATAAATAACTCCTCAACCATTCATACATTATGCCCCTTTAGGTAATATAACTCCTCAACCATTTATACATTATGCCCCTTTTGGTAAAATAAATAACTCCTCAACCATTTATACATTATGCCCCTTTTGGTAATATAACTCCTCAACCATTTATACATTATGCCCTTTTTGGTAATATAACTCCTCAACCATTTATACATTATGCCCTTTTTGGTAATATAACTCCTCAAGCATTTATACATTATTCCCCTTTTGGTAATATAACTCCTCAAGCATTTATTCATTATGCCCCTTTTGGTAATATAACTCCTCAACCATTAATACATTAGGCCCCTTTTGGTAAAATAAATAACTCCTCAACCATTTATACATTAGGCCCCTTTTGGTAAAATAAATAACTCCTCAACCATTCATACATTATGCCCCTTTTGGTAATATAACTCCTCAACCATTTATACATTAGGCCCCTTATGGTAATATAACTCCTCAACCATTTATACATTACTGGCTTTCAATTGTTTGGTTTTAAGCGTTCCTAATAAAATTAAATCTAAATTAGTTTTAAAATGAATTGAATTAAACCACATGTACAAAATGAGAAGAAAATCTGTAAACCTCTTGGTTTCAAGAGGTTTACAGATTTTCTTCTCATTTTGTACATGTGGTTTAATTCAATTCATTTTAAAACTAATTTAGTTTGTTGGCGTCCTCACTTATGCATTAAATTCCATTCTCTTATGGTTGCGGCCGACTATCTATTTCATGCATAAAGAGATATTTCTCCTATCACACTGCACGGAGTGTTATACGAAAAAGTGATACGAAAATCTGCGTTAATTTGATTGGGCTATCGAGCATCATGAGACGATATTACGACATTACCATTGGCTATTCGTTAGGTCATTGATCACTTTCAAACGTTAAGAGGATGTACATTTCGTCCATGGCAACGGACGTGTGTGATTTCTTCAATAACATACAAAACACTCACACTTTTCACCTAAAAATCTGAGTTTTGTCAAATTTTATTACATTCTGAAGCGTACAAAAAGTTTTTAAATGTCCGATGTTAAAGCTTGACACCGGAACAGGACATATGACGTCATACTTGTATGTGCAAAAGACTAGATCAACTTTTCGCGGAATTTTTAAATTAACACACCGAGAGAGTTGACCATAAGAGAAATAGATTTAACAACTTGTGGGAATGGGATATCGCAGATATCAACTCTCGTTATTTAATTATACCCCACGCAACGAGTTGCGGAGGGTATAATGTTTTTGACCCGTCCGTCCGTCTGTCCGTCCGTCAGTCCGTCAGTCCTATTTCTTGTCATCGCAACTCCTCTAAAACCACACAACAGAATTTCACGAAACCTTTTTAGATAATAAGGACATACTATGTAGTTGTGCATATCGACAGGAAATTATGATTCAATTTTTTTTCTAGGAGTTACGCTCCTTTGAACTTATTTACTTTAATGTACTACTGCAACCTTTTGTCATCGCAACTCCTCTCAAACCACACAACAGAATTTCATGAAACCTTTTCAGATAATAAGGACATACTATCTAGGTGTGCATATCGACAGGAAATTACGTTTCAATTTTTTTTCCAGGAGTTACGCCCCTTTGAACTTATTTGCCCAATATACTACTGCAACCTTTTGTCATCGCAACTCCTCTCAAACCACACAACAGAATTTCATGAAACCTTTTCAGATAAAATAAGGACATACTACGTAGATGTGCATATCGACAGGAAATTACGATTCAATTTTTTCCAGAAGTTACGCCTCTTTGAACTTATTTGCCCAATATACTACTGCAACCTTTTGTCATCGCAACTCCTCTCAAACCACACAACAGAATTTTATAAAAATGTGTAGATAATAAGGACATACTATGTAGATGTGCATATTGACAGGAAATTATAATTCATTTTTTTTTTCTGATACAATTTTTTTTTTTACACTTACTTTTCTCCAATGACAATGTGGGGACGTAGGGTATGTGAGCGCGCTCACTAAGGTTCTTTAATTTAAATATGAATACTAAACTCGCCGAAGGCTCCTTTATTATTATATTGAAATAAAATAACTCGAGTTGATATCAAGCGATATCCAATTCTAACTCGCTATGAAACATATAAATGTAAAAGAACGTATACAGTATTAACATACTGTAAAATTCGAAGTTCGAAAAAAAACCCCAAAAACTCAAATGAAAAAGCAATGGTTTCATAGTTAAAAGAAAAAGATTAAAAGATGGTGTAATTTCCAGCCTTCTAACAGTGGTTTCGGTCCTCTAGTTGGACAACAGAACTGCGATGTAACAAGTAGATTGTTGCACTATTATTAACTGACCAAATGTAAAAGAGTCATTCTTATACATGACGTTTAATATTTCAGAAAAGAAAATCAATAAAGAAATGCCAAAAGGTAAATATAATTGCATGTGTGCTATTGGTAGTTAATTTGTTTTTTTTACCGCATGTTACGATGATGTATGTCCTCCCTTTGACTTGAAACCTTCCAACGGGCTTGCGCTCCCCTTGCCGTAGAGACATCAGTCATACACAATAGCATACACAATTAAGGATGTAGTCAAGTGAAATTAAAAAAAAAGTCTTGAATTAAAAATTGATACTATGAATCAGAAGAGCATTATTTAAAAACAAAATAAGCTAATCATATTGATAGGTTACGGAACTCCTTTTCGAAATATTTGATTTTAAATTTTTTTTGGTAATGACCTTTTATGAGCTATTGTAGCTTTCTATGAGGAGAAAAGTGGGTGATATGGGGCGAAATATTTTACCCTGTATCGTAGGAAAAAACCAAAGGAGTCCGAATATCTGACAAAAAATCCTAAACCTAAAATGACTACATCTATCATTCTTGTTCCTCTGCTAAAAATTAAAAATTAAATGTAATGATCAGTTGGTTGCTTAAATTTTGCTTAGCTTTGAATCATCAAATCAGTAACTATATTTCTACTTCCATCTCGCATTTTGATTTTCTGAAAACCGAAAACGGCGAAAATCGTGAAGAGAGAAATGCACGTATGTCTATTTTATCAGTCTGACATATTTTGTAAATGAGAAGTGAATTGCAAAGTTAAGGCTCTGTAATTTTTAAGCCAAATTGCTACTACTTAAACAAAGCCGTTCACGGAACAATATGTTTTTATGGTTGTTGAAATAAAGATCGCGGAAAAAATATTTATCATCTTTAATTTGTGTAAAACATCACTGTAAAAACGGTTAATCCGATCGATGGACGGGGCTTAGAATCACAACTTACGGATGCAGAATAGTGTTGAATAATTCGCTATTCTCGTTTATTTAATTGAAAAATAGAAAATAATTATGATTGAAACTTAAATGTCACTTTCTATAATCAAAAACTTTGAAAGATTGAACGTTGAATGTTTTTTTTTCTGGTCATTAAAATTTGTATGTTCCCGCCCACTTTATGACTCACCCGAAGTCGTATAATAGAGATTTCCAATAAAATGATATTACTCGACATAACCAACCTATCTGACCGTATCTCGGCCTATTGCATCGAAGGATGACGGAGGGGAGTATAGACTGCATGCATTTGTGGCTCTTTGAATACAGGTACTTTGTTGGAAATGATGCTATTCAAAAATTAGCACAAACTACTATTTTGATTCTTTACATATTTTGTTGTTAAATTTGGGATGATTTCATTTACAACAACCTTTCAAGGGAATAATTAATTCAGTTACCGGTAATCAAATGCACCGATCATAACTTCGTCATTTCACTTGACCCATATATTTGTCTCTCAAACGATGAATTCTTAAAGCTACTAAATCAAAATTAAGTTTGAAAAAATAACAATAATTAAATCTGAAGCGAAATCATATTCTCATTTTTGATTTAAGAGTAATAAGATTGAAACAAGAGTTTCAAACACGCCGGAATGTAAAAGGTGTACACGACTTGCTTCTTCTTGTTTTTTTTAGCATACTTCTATAATTTATTTCAAGATACTTTTGTCACAGGTAAAAATTCAAATCACTGATGCATCTTTCTGATAGTACTTTGTCACCTTTCCGTAGAATTTTATCAGATGGAATTTATGAGGACGCATCTTCAAGAAAAAATATGATTACACTTTACTGAATCATTTAATTTTTTTTATATCTTGTCTCTAATTATAATGATGCATGGATTCTTGGAAGAGCCCGTACAAACGTATGCATAATTTAACGTCATAGCTCTTAAAAATTGTTTTTTTTCAAAATGTTTGGCGTTTAACTTATACAAATACGGATAAAAAACGGACATGTACGGAATATTTGATTGAAGTTTTGTTAAGTAGGATGATCATTTTAGTTTTATGACCAATTTATGATAGCAAGGGGATATTATATTTACTGGTCTGTGCATCCGTCCGTTCTGCCGTTCTGATAAAAATATAAAAAGTTTAAAATATTATATACTAAATTAGAGTTTGACCCGGATTAAGTGGTGCACTGAACATGGAAATATGATCATGTTAAAAGGCACGGTGTCTTAAGACCACACATTCTTGTTGCAAGTGTTTCGATTAATACACGTACATGTATATGTGTCTTCCATATTCATAACTGTCTCTTTGGTCGCACGCTCGCCTCGACAGTAACCCCTCAAAGGTGATCGGAGGAATGAAAATATGGTCACTATTCGTCTTGTTCCGAACGGCAGTTAAACCATTGCCAAAGTGGGGAGTCCGTTTAGTTGTGCGGAATGTACAAGTACACAGTCCCGCCTGGTCAAAGTGGGGACGTTAAATCCGATGCCTCTTGTAGAGAGAACGCCACGCTCTCTACACGTTAATTACGCATGAAATATTTGCCACTTAAACAACCAACTATCAATCAATCGACAGTACCGTAACTTGAATTTTATTTCTGGGGAGGCAAATGATTTGAATCTTAGCAGTGAAAGCCTCACCTTGGTTAAAAGACGCCAATGCCAATAGGGAGTGGACGGTTAATTGAAAATATGAATCGCAAAATAGGTGTAGGTAATCATAGGTCACACAATGGAAAAAAGATCCTGTCTCTGAAAAATCCAGATTTGTGGAATTTTATCATGAAATAGTATTTTTAGTGCGCAGTAAATCAATAAATGTCAATGAAATGCTGGTTAAAGGTTTAATTCTCAGTATTCTGTTAGACAAGTCCTGATCAAAACAAAAATAATTGACAGAATTATATGTATGACCTCTAAAATGCATTGTACAGATTTGGGGATATTAAGTTTAAGATCCACAATGTCTTTTAACTTTATACGTTTAGCTTTTGTCAAAATGTATGGATGATAATAACTAGGTGAACTATGAAGTCTTGCTTATATTAACCAAGGTAGAAGAGTACTACATAAAATGTAGGAATGCCAAGTCTCTGTTGAAAACCTTGTCCACCGAAAGTAACAAGTTCGTTGTCAAAACAAAAATCAAGCAACATATCAGCTTCACAGTTATGACCTCTTGTTTGAAACAGTTTTTTGCGAGGTATACTTTGTCTGTTATTTAAAAAAGATATTTGCATCTACCTTGTTCATTTTATGAAAGAAAGTTTTCAAGACGTTAATAATGAGGAACGATTGAGTAAAGAGTAAAGCAGTCAACGTTTTAAACCGTCGTAACTCAGTATACTTTATGCTATGACGTACATGGTATATAATTCTCTTTATCTCTCTTTTTTAATGGTAAAACAAATTGTTGAGGCGGTTGCCTCATTGCGTCAATGAAAGCTACATCACTGCTCGAGTGCGGGAAGCCTTTGGCTCGATCCTCGCCTGTTTCAAATCGAAAATTTGCTGCCTCTCTACCAAGCACGCAATATTTAGGAGTTAGAGCAAAGATTGGTAAGTCCGGGGTCAGAATCATGTGTCCAGGTAGGATGACATGTCTTCTGTGCTATAATACAAAGTCTGGTTCATATTCATCTTCCCGTCCTAATAATCATATGTAAAATACATATGCAACAAACACTTATATATATGGCCCTACATCCTATTAATTTACTTCAAGGGATATAAAAGAAATTGCATGGAAACGTCTTTTGTATTTGGACTCCGATAGCATTCCCGTTAAACAAATTTATACAGAACAATCGCTAATCGAACACACCTTAATTCTAAAAAACAACATATATAGGGATTGTTTTATTAAAACATTTTATAATAAATGAAAAATACTTTTGTTTAGAAGTTAAATGGAAGCGATAGTTTTATCCAAATTTTCAGCTGTCATAAAGAGACAGATTCTGACAAACTGGTTTCGATATTTCTGAAATTGTCAGAAAAATATCCTTCTTAATATTTTCCCCGCAACAAATATAATAATAATATAGATAAAATATAAAGAAAGACAGAAACAAGTAAATTGGGGCGCTCATCTGCAAAGTATATTGAAAAATAACTGTCATTATCAAAACCATGAAAGATAACTCAAATCGTACATATGATAGGTATGGGATACGTGTGTTTTTACGTGATCTTATGTCAGTGGAAATAAAGGCGGGAATCTGGAAAACCACGTGATAAATAAAAATGCAAGATTTCTATCATTTTTGTCATGATAGAATTATTTTATATGGACGAAAATTTCAGTGTGGTTTAAAAATCTTGAAATACTTTGTTTAAACTTGAGCGATGTATTAATCAAATTCAATGGTTGGCAATAACCAGCCCCATTAGGTCCGTACGTCGAGTTACGTACGTATGTCATTTTATTGGAAATCTCTAGTATGGGATTCCCCAAGCACATGTTTACATTTTGCAAGTTGCTTTATTTTTTGTCCATAATGGGTCAGAAAAGAATTGAATGGACTCGACTGCATATCTCCGTGTTGTTCAGTAAATTTCTGATATTTCGAATTTAAAAATAACCTTGCTTTTGTTGCAATTTTCTACGATCCCAAAGCGGGAGTGAGCACTTGGGTTTTTAACATAAAGTTTTTCTTACGGAAAATCAATTTTTACGCAAACTGTATCGTATAAATTGAATATTAGGTATTTTATAACCAGTTGGTATTAATAACCAACTATAAATATCGTTAACGTGACAATGTCAGTGTTTTGAAACTTGGTTGTCATCAGAAACTTCGAAAAAATGGCGACGGCTATTTAAAAAAAAATTAGCACGTTTAAAGTATTAATGCATTGCGAAAACAAATATTTCATCAATGAAATTCGAGTCATTTATTCCCAGAAATATCCTTTTTATATTGAAAACAAATTTTATTAAGTCTGATACAGACTTTTCGTAGACGACGCGTTTCAACTGAGTTACTACACAGAGGCATCAAAAGGCGTCATTATGGAGTAAAGGGGGTGGCGTCAAAAGGCGTCATTATGGAGGAAAGGGTTAACAGGCAAAAAACAACGAAGGCATGAAACATGCACGTGAACATAAATGAAATAGACTCTAAGAGGGATACTTAAAAAAAAGAAAGGATGATTCTCTGAGAGAATAAAGATTTAAATATTTAATTTGGTAACAATAATATTTATTTTTTTTTTATTGATACCTGATACAGATAAACGCAAAGTGCGTCAACAGGACGAAGGCGTGCACTGACTTAAACTGGTTCTAGAAAACTAGGACAATCCGACATGTTGGATAGAGACACAAATATTGAATGCAATCGGCCATCTACAAAACCCTCAAATCTTTGTGAAAGTGATAGATCGTTTTGTGACGTGTGACACTTTCCTTATAAGAGATGCCAATTTTACACAATTCCTGAGCGTGCGTATTTATTTATCCCAACGGAACCCCCTCACTGCAACCTGACCAAGGAGATAATTAGTCCGACTCTACTTTTTTATTACGTTTTATATTTCAGTGACGAATATTTCGAAAGTTATGCCAAAAGGTAATATAATTGTCGGTGTTGGCAATATGGATACTTTATAATTGATATAGTGCCTTCCATAAAAGTGAGGAGTGTTTTTCAATTGTTTTGTTCTTAGTTCTTAGTTAGTTCTTTGTTTTTTGCAAAATGGAGGTCGAAATACATAGAAGAAATAAAACAACAGAGATATATCATATCGTAGTAAATTCCCAAACTGCAAAGTGGAGATCAAAATTGACATTTCTGTTGTCTTTGGTCGCTAGGAAATTATATACAATCGTTCTTAAAGTAAGTCTACATGTATCTGTACACTTTTAAGTGGAAAGGTTGGTTTTCTTGAAATTTTTTGCTTGATCAATTCAAAATGGCTGTCTTTCGAACTTTTCTGATAGGACCTGCGTCCACTTTAAAAGTTATGACTTCTCATATGGGATATTTTAAGTTATTCTTTAAGAATTTTCTTAATTAGCACATTCTCAAATTCATTAAATTTCGTCCCTATAAAGATATATGAAAAAACTAGTGATTGCTACAGGAGCGTACATACTACTAACAGTCCAAAGATCCAGTAGTAGTCAAACAGAATTGCGAGGCAACAAATCGATTTCTTGCAGTCTGACTGTTAATGATGACTTTACCCAAAATCCATTGGATGTTGAGAGTGTACTGATTGATATTTTAGTCTTAGATACATGATTTTCTTATTAGGTTTTATTGGCTTTGAACTAGCTATGAGTAATTGCTAGTACTCTCAGATCTGAACTTTTTGTCTTTTGTGTTTTTTTGTTTGTTTAGACTTAATTTTTATACGCCCGTTTACGGGACGTATTATGGTATACCGTTTTCCGTCCGTCCGTCCGTCGTCAACATGTCGGACAATAACTCAAAAACTCTGTAACCAATTTGCATGAAACTTTGGTGAATTGTTTATATCTATTGACGTGAGCTCCCTTTCGATTTTTTATAAATTTTAGATATTACGTTTCCGAGTTATGGGGTTTTATTCATTAAAAAAGGGGGATTTTCCTGTTTTTGGACAATAACTGAAAAATACTTTCACCAATTTGCAAGAAACTTTGGTGAATCGTTTTTATCTATTGATGTGAGCTCTGTTTCGATTTTTATGAATTTTCGATTTTACGTTTCCGAGTTATGGGGTTTTATTCTTTAAAAAAGGGTGATTTTCCAGTTTTCGGACTATACCTTACAAATACTTTGAGCAATTTTCATGAAATTTGGGTGAATTGTTTATATCTATTGACGTAACCTCCCTCTTGATTTTTATAAATTTTAGAATTAACGTTTCCGAGTTATGGGATTTTATTCATAAAAAAGGGTTGATTTTTTAGTTTTTAAACAATAACTCAAAAGTGCTTTGAGCAGTTTTCATGAAACTTTGGTGACTGGTTTATATCTATTAAAATAACCTCCCTTTAGTTGTTTTTATAAATTTCTGATATGGCATTGAGGAGTTATGGAACTTTATTCTTTGAAAAAGCGACGGGCGTTTCATGTGCCCATAGCGCAGCTCTTTATTGTGCTTTTTATGGATTTGATGAGTTAAGCCCTTTTCAACTGATTTTTAGAGTTTGTTCTTATGAGGTACTTTTACACCACTGTCCCTGGTTTAGGGGGGGATAAGGCGCACGGAAACATGTTGAATCTCATCGCATTCTATAGCTTATTAATGAATTTGACTCTTATTTGAAAGTACAATAACAAAAAAAAAAAAACCTTCTCTCGCTTTGTAAACAAAGTCATGATCTTATTTCGATAAAATATTGGGTGCATATGGGTGACGTCACAATTGAAATAAGAATGTCTGCTGTATTTTGAACGACGTCGTAGATCAAAATGGACATTTTTGTCTGTTGTCTTTGGTTGATAGGAAATAATATGAAATTGTTCTAAAAGTTACATGTATCTGTAAACATTTTAGTAAAACAGTTGGTTTTCTTCAACGTTTTGGCTTGATCAAATCAAAATGGCTGTATTTCGAACGTGTCTTCTAGGTCTGCGTCAAAGTATAAAAATTCTCATATTTTATCTTAACATTCTGTTGCCTAATTATCTATCTATTACACAAAATTGATTTTTTCATAATTAATCTTTTCAAATTCTGACAATTTTGCACAAACCGTAGCTTGAAAAAAAAGCTGCGCGACCCATACTTTGTAGTATATTTTTGAAACAAGCATCGTATTATGAAAAAAAAATCTTTTGATTTTAATTTTGACAATCTATCTTCCTTAAATGAGGATGTTAACTGTATTTGGTAGTTTCATTGAACTTTTATATTTTCTAATGAGTAATTGATATCTGTGTAGATAATGCTTCAAATTGCAGACGTACTAGTTTCGAAGCTAGTGATTGCCGATAGGCGTAAAGTCTACCAAAATTGGTGTCGGTCCTGAAGTTGTGAAATAACGAGTTGATTTGAAATATCATCTAATACAGACCATGTTTAAATGTTTTTCATTTCTGTTACAAAAGTCAAGAAAGTTTTGCCAAAAGGTAGTTGAAATTTGCTTTGTGTACCTGTCCCAAGTTAGGAGCCTGTGATTTAGGAGTTGTCGTTTGTTGCCGTTTATCATATTTATTTTTCATTTATTGTTTTATACGTCTGTTTGTTCTTGTGTTGTTCTGTTGCACATATGTCCCAGGTTTAAGAGGAGGGTTGGGAGCCTGCTAACATGTTTTACCCCGCCAAAATATGTATGTGTCTGTCCCAAGTATGGAGCCTGTAAATCAGTGATTGTCGTTTGCTTCTGTATATTGTATTTTTTTCCCCGTTCATTGTTTTGTATATAAATCCGGCCGTTTGTTTTCTTTTTCGAATGGTAAACATTTGTCACTTTTAGTTGCTAACTACTATGTCATCTATTTTGGAAAAGTGCCTAATTTGCAATCATACCGCATCTCCTTATTCTTATATAATAAACTGAACATATACAAAATCCATCTTATGTGTGACGTGTTACATTTCAGTAAAGAGAGTCAATAAAGTTATGCCAATAGGTAATTATGATAATTGTCATGTTGTTATTGCTAGTACAACTCCCTATTGTTTGTTAAATATAGATGTTTTACCCCGTCACATTCTATGTGGGCCTGTCCCACACTCAGTGGTTGTCGATGTTTGCTGTCTGTCAAATTTGTTTTTTTTTGATTATTTTTTTGTCCTAATTCCGTCCTTTTCTTTTTCCTTTTGATATTTTCTCATTTTGTCATGATTGGGCCTTTGATAGATAACTTAACGGTATCGGTTTTACTCATTTTTGAAGGCCTTACGGTAACCTATAGTTTCTTTTGTAATTGCTAAAATAGAAATACAGATGTATAATATGGTGTAACATATAAAAAATAACAATAATCTGATTTCTAAGTTTGTGTAGGCCTGGATATCGATATAAAATTTTGAACAGTGACATCGATCCTGAAGTTACAATTCTATTTTGCTATATAAAGTGTTGGTTAAATGATATTACATACACTTATCATTAATTTTATCTTTTTTATTTCGTGTTAACTTTTAGTGAAGAAAATTAAGAAAGTAATGCCAAAAGGTAAATATAATTCATGTCCATTCATTATCTGCACTCTATATTTTATTGTTATAACTGTATGTATGCCATTCAAATACAACTATTTAATGAGGATGATAACTGCATGTGTACGCTTCATTGATCTATTTTTCAATTAAACTGAATTTGAGATAGCTTGTAGATGATGCTAGATATTAAAAACGTACTAGTTTCCATTACCGTAGGCATTCAAGCCTATTAAAAATATATCGGTCCTAAAGTTGTGAAATAATGAGTTAATTTGAAATAATATCCTACACAGACCATGTTTAAAAATTCAATTTTATGGGCTATATGCTATATTTCAGTAACGAAAATTACCAAAATTATGCCAAAAGGTAAATATAATTGTCAGTGTTGACTAACTGGATACTATGTGTGTTGATATAATGCCTTCCATAAAAATGAGGAGTGTTTTTTATTTGTTTTTGTTACTTAGTGCTTAGTTAGTTCTTTGGTTTTTTTTTTGCAAAGTGGAGGTCGAAATACACAGAAGAAATGGTACAACATAGTTATATCACATTGTAGTAAATTCTCAAAACTGCAAAGTGGTGTTCACACAAAATTAGATTTACAATTATAATAATAATGTTATTAAAATCATATTCATAAAAGAAAAACAAAATTGAAAACGTGTAGCTTATTAATGAATTTGACTCTAATTTGAGAGTACAATAACCACCCAAAAAAAAACCTTCTCTCGCTTTGTAGACATAGTCATGATCTTATTTCGATGAAACATGAGGTGCATATGGGTGACGTCACAATTGAAATAAGAATTTCTGTTGTATTTTGAATAACGTCGTAGATCAAAATAGACATTTCTGTTGTCTTTGGTTGCTAGAAAATATTATATGAAATTGTTTTAAAAGTAAGTTAATATGTATCTGTAAACTTTTTAGTGAAACGGTTGTTTTTTTTAAACATTTTTGCTTGATCAAATTAACATGGCTGTATTTCGAACGTGTCTTCTAGGCCTGCGTCGAAGTATAAAAATTCGTGACTATAATTCCTCTCATATTTTATCTTAAAATTCTATTGCTTAGTTATCTTTCTATCACACAAAATTGATTTCTCCATGATTAATCTATTCAAAATCTGACAATTTTGCACAACCTGTAGCTTGAAAAAAAGCTACGCAAACCCATACTTTGTAGTACAGTTTTGAAAAAAGCATTGCATAACTTACATTTTTGCAAATTATGAAAAAAATCTATTGATTTTAATTTTGACAATCTATCTACCCTAAATGAGGATGTTAACTGTATTTTGTAGTTTAATAGAACTTTTTTTAATTTTTGATGAGTTCTTGATATCTGTGTAGAGAATGCTTCAAATTGCAGACGTACTAGTTTCGAAGCTAGTGAAAGCCGATAGGCTTAAAGTCTACCAAAAATGGTGTCGTTCCTGAAGTTGGTTATAACGAGTTGTTTTGAAATATTATTCGATACAGAGAATCTTTAAAAGTTTTTCATTTCAGTTACAAAAGTAAAGAAAGTTATTCCAAAAGGTCGTTGAAATTTGCTTTATGTACCTGTCCCAAGTTAGGAGCCTGTGATTTAGGAGTTGTCGTTTGTTGCCGTTTATCATATTTATTTTTCATTTATTGTTTTATACGTCTGTTTGTTCTTGTGTTGTTCTGTTGCACATCTGTCCCAGGTTTAAGAGGAGGGTTGGGAGCCCGCTAACATGTTTAACCCCGCCAAAATATGTATGTGTCTGTCCCAAGTATGGAGCCCGTAAATCAGTGATTGTCGTTTGCTTCTGTATTTTGTATTTTTCCCCCCTTTTCATTGTTTTGTATATAAATCCGGCCGTTTGTTTTCTTTTTTGAATGGTAAACATTTGTCACTTTTAGTTGCTAACTACTATGTCATCTATTTTGGAAAAGTGCCTAATTTACAATCATACCGCATCTCCTTATTCTCATATAATTAACTGACCATATACAAAATCCATCTTATGTGTGACGTGTTACATTTCAGTAAAGAGAGTCAATAAAGTTATGCCAATAGGTAATTATGATAATTGTCATGTTGTTATTGCTAGTACAACTCCCTATTGTTTGTTAAATATAGATGTTTTATCCCGTCACATTCTATGTGGGCCTGTCCCACACTCAGTGGTTGTCGATGTTTGCTGTCTATCAAATTTGTTTTTGGATTATTTTTTTGTCCTAATTCCGTCCTTTTCTTTTTCCTTTTGATATTTTCTCATTTTGTCATGATTGGGCCTTTGATAGATAACTTAACGGTATCGGTTTAACTCATTTTTGAAGGCCTTACGGTAACCTATAGTTTCTTTTGTTATTTCTGAAATATATAATATGGTGTAACATATAAAAAATGACAATAATCTGATTTCTAAATTTGTATAGGCCGGGACATCGATATAAAATTTTGAACAGTGACATCGATCCTGAAGTTACAATTCTATTTTGCTATATAACGTGTTGGTTTAATGATATTACATACACTTATCATTAATTTTATCTTATTTATTTCGTGTTATCTTTCAGTGAAGAAAATTAAGAAAGTAATGCCAAAAGGTAAATATAATTCATGTCCATTCATTATCTGCACTCTATATTTTATTGTTATAACTGCATGTATGCCATTCAAATACAAATATTTAATGAGGATGATAACTGCATGTGTACGCTTCATTGATCTATTTTTCAATTAAACTGAATTTGAGATAGCTTGTAGAGGATATATTAAAAACGTACTAGTTTCCATTACCGTAGGCATTCAAGCCTATTAAAAATATATCGGTCCTAAAGTTGTGAAATAATGAGTTAATTTGAAATAATATCCTACACAGACCATGTTTAAAAATTCAATTTTATGGGCTATATGCTATATTTCAGTAACGAAAATTACCAAAATTATGCCAAAAGGTAAATATAATTGTCGGTGTTGACTAACTGGATACTATGTGTGTTGATATAATGCCTTCCATAAAAATGAGGAGTGTTTTTTATTTGTTTTTGTTACTTAGTGCTTAGTTAGTTCTTTGGTTTTTTTTTTGCAAAGTGGAGGTCGAAATACACAGAAGAAATGGTACAACATAGTTATATCACATTGTAGTAAATTCTCAAAACTGCAAAGTGGTGTTCACACGAAATTAGATTTACAATTATAATAATAATGTTATTAAAATCATATTCATAAAAGAAAAACAAAATTGAAAACGTGTAGCTTATTAATGAATTTGACTCTAATTTGAGAGTACAATAACCACCCAAAAAAAAACCTTCTCTCGCTTTGTAGACATAGTCATGATCTTATTTCGATGAAACATGAGGTGCATATGGGTGACGTCACAATTGAAATAAGAATTTCTGTTGTATTTTGAATAACGTCGTAGATCAAAATAGACATTTCTGTTGTCTTTGGTTGCTAGAAAATATTATATGAAATTGTTTTAAAAGTAAGTTTATATGTATCTGTAAACTTTTTAGTGAAACGGTTGTTTTTTTTAAACATTTTTGCTTGATCAAATTAACATGGCTGTATTTCGAACGTGTCTTCTAGGCCTGCGTCGAAGTATAAAAATTCGTGACTATAATTCCTCTCATATTTTATCTTAAAATTCTATTGCTTAGTTATCTTTCTATCACACAAAATTGATTTCTCCATGATTAATCTATTCAAAATCTGACAATTTTGCACAACCTGTAGCTTGAAAAAAAGCTACGCAAACCCATACTTTGTAGTACAGTTTTGAAAAAAGCATTGCATAACTTACATTTTTTCAAATTATGAAAAAAATCTATTGATTTTAATTTTGACAATCTATCTACCCTAAATGAGGATGTTAACTGTATTTTGTAGTTTAATAGAACTTTTTTTAATTTTTGTTGAGTTCTTGATATCTGTGTAGAGAATGCTTCAAATTGCAGACGTACTAGTTTCGAAGCTAGTGAAAGCCGATAGGCTTAAAGTCTACCAAAAATGGTGTCGTTCCTGAAGTTGGTTATAACGAGTTGTTTTGAAATATTATTCGATACAGATAATCTTTAAAAGTTTTTCATTTCAGTTACAAAAGTAAAGAAAGTTATTCCAAAAGGTCGTTGAAATTTGCTTTATGTACCTGTCCCAAGTTAGGAGCCTGTGATTTAGGAGTTGTCGTTTGTTGCCGTTTATCATATTTATTTTTCATTTATTGTTTTATACGTCTGTTTGTTCTTGTGTTGTTCTGTTGCACATCTGTCCCAGGTTTAAGAGGAGGGTTGGGAGCCCGCTAACATGTTTAACCCCGCCAAAATATGTATGTGTCTGTCCCAAGTATGGAGCCCGTAAATCAGTGATTGTCGTTTGCTTCTGTATTTTGTATTTTTCCCCCCTTTTCATTGTTTTGTATATAAATCCGGCCGTTTGTTTTCTTTTTTGAATGGTAAACATTTGTCACTTTTAGTTGCTAACTACTATGTCATCTATTTTGGAAAAGTGCCTAATTTACAATCATACCGCATCTCCTTATTCTCATATAATTAACTGACCATATACAAAATCCATCTTATGTGTGACGTGTTACATTTCAGTAAAGAGAATAAATAAAGTTATGCCAATAGGTAATTATGATAATTGTCATGTTGTTATTGCTAGTACAACTCCCTATTGTTTGTTAAATATAGATGTTTTACCCCGTCACATTCTATGTGGGCCTGTCCCACACTCAGTGGTTGTCGATGTTTGCTGTCTGTCAAATTTGTTTTTTGATTATTTTTTTGTCCTAATTCCGTCCTTTTCTTTTTCCTTTTGATATTTTCTCATTTTGTCATGATTGGGCCTTTGATAGATAACTTAACGGTATCGGTTTAACTCATTTTTGAAGGCCTTACGGTAACCTATAGTTTCTTTTGTTATTTCTGAAATATATAATATGGTGTAACATATAAAAAATGACAATAATCTGATTTCTAAATTTGTGAAGGCCGGGACATCGATATAAAATTTTGAACAGTGACATCGATCCTGAAGTTACAATTCTATTTTGCTATATAACGTGTTGGTTTAATGATATTACATACACTTATCATTAATTTTATCTTATTTATTTCGTGTTATCTTTCAGTGAAGAAAATTAAGAAAGTAATGCCAAAAGGTAAATATAATTCATGTCCATTCATTATCTGCACTCTATATTTTATTGTTATAACTGCATGTATGCCATTCAAATACAAATATTTAATGAGGATGATAACTGCATGTGTACGCTTCATTGATCTATTTTTCAATTAAACTGAATTTGTGATAGCTTGTAGAGGATATATTAAAAACGTACTAGTTTCCATTACCGTAGGCATTCAAGCCTATTAAAAATATATCGGTCCTAAAGTTGTGAAATAATGAGCTAATTTGAAATAATATCCTACACAGACCATGTTTAAAAATTCAATTTTATGGGCTATATGCTATATTACGTAACGAAAATTACCAAAATTATGCCAAAAGGTAAATATAATTGTCGGTGTTGACTAACTGGATACTATGTGTGTTGATAAAATGCCTTCCATAAAAATAAGGAGTGTTTTTTATTTGTTGTTGTTTCTTAGTGCTTAGTTACTTCTTTGTTTTTTTTTTCCAAGTGGAGGTCGAAATACATAGAAGCAATGGTACAACATAGATATATCATATTGTAGTAAATTCTCAAAACTGCAAAGTGGTGTTCACACGAAATTAGATTTACAATTATAATAATAATGTTATTAAAATCATATTAATTAAAGAAAAAAAAAATTGTAAACATGTAGCTTATTAATGAATTTGACTCTTATTTGAGAGTACAATAACCACCCAAAAAAAAACCTTCTCTCGCTTTGTAAACAAAGTCATGATCTTATTTCGATGAAACATGAGGTGCATATGGGTGACGTCACAATTGAAATAAGAATTTCTGTTGTATTTTGAATAACGTCGTAGATCAAAATAGACATTTCTGTTGTCTTTGTTTGCTAGAAAATATTATATGAAATTGTTCTAAAAGTAAGTTTATATGTATCTGTAAACTTTTAAGGGAAACGGTTGTTTTTTTTTTAACATTTTTGCTTGATCAAATTAACATGGCTGTATTTCGAACGTGTCTTCTAGGCCTGCGTCGAAGTATAAAAATTCGTGACTATAATTCTTCTCATATTTCATCTTAAAATTCTATTGCTTAGTTATCTTTCTATCACACAAAATTGATTTCTCCATGATTAATCTATTCAAAATCTGACAATTTTGCACAACCTGTAGCTTAAAAAAAAGCTACGCAACCCATTCTTTGTAATACAGTTTATCTGTGTAGAGAATGCTTCAAATTGCAGACGTACTAGTTTCGAAGCTAGTGATAGCCGATAGGCTTAAAGTCTACCAAAAATGGTGTCGTTCCTCAAGTTGGTTATAACGAGTTGTTTTGAAATATTATTCGATACAGAGAATCTTTTAATGTGTTATATTTCAGTTACAAAAGTGAAGAAAATTATGCCAAAAGGTAATTGAAATTTGTTTTATGTTTGCTATTTTCACATATGCCTTTATAAAAATATAAAGAGGCACGGGCTCTTTTCATAAAAAATCTTACAACAAAAATAGCTCGTTAGTTATACTGAAACGTTGATGAATAAGATTTTGTATGGGTGAAATAAGTCGCTGTTCTTGTCCTTTTCCTCTTTTTATTTGTTTCGTATTTGGTCCTTGCTTTGTTTATAGCAAGATTTGGTAGAGATCTTGTTCTTGACTGCTGTTTGTCTTTTGGTCTGTGTTTGGCCTTTGCGTTTATGATATTTATTCGGCTTCAGTTTTTGAATGGCCAATTTATATCCTCTTTTTCCCGACAAAGTTACGGGATAACGAGTTGATTTAACATATTAACATTAACCAAGGATGATTGTTGTCACTTCTTTTACTGATTTCAGTTATTTTCATTCTCCATTTTATTTTTCAAATGTTGCTGGAATCATAAAGACGTATTTGAAAATGATACTTTTGAAAGCGGTGGTGTTGTTTCTTAGATAAATTTAAATGCTTTTCCGTTATTATTATTTGAAGTTAAATCATCCCTGATAAAAAGACGCTACATGTACTAATATCATATTTTTCAGTGAAAACATTTGAGAGAATTCTGCAAAAAGATGAATTATACTGTCTGTATGTTCACAATCTAAATGGCGTATTATTGGTATCATAATGCCTTCTGTAAAGATTAGGTATACAGAGGCTGTTTTTCTTTTATTGTGTTTTTCTCACTTGGTCTTTTGCTATGTTCACACTGGAGTTAAAAAAAACTTTGGCCAAACGATAAATTTTACACATAATTCATAAGACATAGTTGAGTTTATTACTGAAAGTGAAAAATTAATTCTTGATATTTTGTAAATACATGTATGGTATTAATCCGTTGACAAAAGATTATGTGATGTACCTGATGAATGTAATATATAGGCCCGAGTAACTTACTTGAAAATGTTATCCGCCATGGAAGAAAATAAATTGTTTGCAATTCATGTTTGGCCTCGCAACAGAAAACATTTTCCTTTATAGACCAACAGTGATTATTTTGTCAACGCCATTAGGTCAACATGCACAAAATAGAGGGTAAGTCGGAGTAAAGTTCTGATATTCGAAAACGGTGTATATACAGAATTAGCTTCACAAAAATAATAGCTTAGCAAAATGAAAATCAAATGTACAAAATGAGGAGAAAATAGTTAACCTACCCTTATTGTTCATCTGGAATAGCCCTTCTTGTAAAAATGCCAATACTGGTACATCATAAACCTATTGTAAAATTGATCAAAATACCGCACACATGAAAACCACGGGTTTAAAAATAAGTTAAATAGATGATGAAATGTCCAGCCTACTATCAGTTGCATCGATCTTGCAGCAGTTCATCATTATTGTGATGCAAGTCGATTTGATGTACACAAATGTACTTTTATAAACTGACCATATGCCATACTTCATTTTGATGTGTGACGTTTCATATTTCAGTAAAGAAAGTAAAGATAGTTAGGCATAAAGTCAAATGTGTTTGCATGTGGTTAAGTAAAACTAACTGAAGTCGCATTGTATTAACCCAACCAAAAAATTGCGGATATAGAAGATGAAAAAGTGTCTGAATTATATTTGTTTATTTGGTTATATATATTTTTTCAGACGTTTTGGTTTTCTCGTGTGACGTGTCCTAAACACAATGATGATTATTTACATTTTTTTTAGTTTAAGTTATAGATAATGCATATTTTATGGTCGTTCTTGTCGTATAATACACCCAAGGTGTGTTATACGACAAGAAACCTTAAAATATGCATTAAAAGACTTATATACCGTCAAAAATTATTATTTTCTGGAAAGATTTGCGGGAAATTGTATCCCAATAAACCGATCACATTAAAGTGGGATATTCTTTTCTCATGCGTTTAGGTATGACAACGCCCCACGGCTCAATTATAAGGTGAAATAAAAGAGTGATGTACCTTGTTGCTACGGCTCGTTGAGATAGCACTCCGCTTAAAAAGTTGATAAAATAGTGAAATTAGAGTAAAATGGATTCAGAATTCGAATCTATGTGTACACGTATAACAGCTGATCGTATAAAACGTCTGTTAAATGTTCTACAAGGTGAAGAAAGTGAAATTATCAGTGATTGAAGTGGTCGATCAAAATCAAAACAAAGAAAAAATGGCGTCTTTTTCTGAGGTGGTAACTAATCATCAAACCAATCTAAATGTAACATCTCAAAACACTAACAATGACCCAGGGAACTTTGTAAAGCCCATTTTCCTTAAGGACGAAGATGTCCATGGCTCAGGGAAACCTCCGAAATCTCTTTGGCTGACGAATGTCGAGATATATAATGCAATAGGTGTCAAGGTCTCTGCAGAACGAATCAAAGGTATACAACAAATACGAGAAATGTGGCGACTGTATATGGACAACGAGGGGGACAGACTGTCTTTGTAAGTGACAGGGGTACACCTGCGTGGCAGGCAGATACCTCTGTACTCGCAAAATCCTCGAAATCCGGGTTGGCTACAAGAAAATATCATTCGCATTAAAGTAAAAAATACTATGATACTAGTAGCAATATAAAGACATGTCATAAATGCTTGAAACCAGGTCACTTAATATATGAATGCCCTAATGACAGGGTTTGTAGAACATGCAACAAAAGTGGTCATTAAATGTTAGATTGCTAATCTGACTTACAAACTGAAAATGAAAATTTAGAAAGCTTAGATGTAAATGTCCAAGAGAGTGAAAGTGAAGCTGTACAGTCCAATGACAATCAGACAAAAGAACACATGTCTGGAACAGCTGACAAACAAACATCAAACACAGCTATACTAAAGCCATCACATACTAGTAGTACATCCAACAAAGCTAGTAGCACAAAGACAGGTGCAGCTAGAAATGTGCTAATGTCAAATGTAAACAACACAGGTCAAGACAAATCGCAACCTTCCATTGACAAATTCGTAAATACACCTAAAATGTCAAGAAAAGCAGCTTCAATGAATCATACTCCACCAACACCTACTGAAATCAAAAGCATAAAACTAATCTAGTCAAATAACTGTTGAATCATAGTTTTAAACCGAATAATTTATTAACTAATTATATTTTTCTATATTTTTATGTTATTTAAAAATAAAATGAAAAAAGGATATACATGAAAAAAAATTCAAGCTCAAATACAGAGTTTAATTTAAATGATGATGAAAACAGTAGAAAGTGTTTCAAAAAATGGCTGTATGCAATAGTTGATATAGTGATGAAAATGACATGCATGTGTATGTGCAATACTTAACAAATGTTAGATGTTATAAAATGTCAATTAATGATATTAGATACAAAAATATGGTGTAACATATATGATTTAATAAGACAAGCGTTTATATTCATATCCAAAAAGATGTTCATTCGGACTATATGTAAATATTTGTTCGAAAATTGTTTTTATATACGAAAAACAACTGATCGACTTTTCCAAAAAAACTGGTGTTTCCCTATTCTATTGATAGAAACATCATCCCGCATTGAAAATTTGTCACGTAATTACGTTTATTCATTCAAAATAAACCATTATTCATTCAAAATAAACCACATGAAATTATATAATATACGTTATTGTTGTTTAATAAGTTTTAAACAAATATATATATAGACAAGAATGTAGGCTTGGTAATTAGTACTGCACTGATTTTATTATGGACATGTGTATACAGTACTATCTACCTGTTATTTGTACTAAGTCAATTGATTAAATTTAAATGTTCTTACATGTATTAAAAATGAAAACAATGTATAACACCTATAGTTTCTTTAAACATAGGTTAACGTGTCTAGTTATTAGCTTAATATATAATATATTGTATGATTATATTATCATGCTTGGAATGTAAAAGACATTTTATACTTACTTGCTATGCTGGGTTTTTCTATGTCTATTTTGAGACAGACTTGACGGTATTCGAAATTGTAAAACTATTTTTAAACATACACAAGAATCACTTGTTTTAAATCATAACAAAGTAAAATTTAATTATTAACACAAATGTGTAATCAATGTTTTGAAGAATTCCAAAAGTACTTACCTCATTGAAAATGGACTCTCCTTCAGAACACAGTCTCTCCAAAAACGTAAAAATAAAACAAACAGGCAATCCTGTCTCAATTCTATATTATTAATTAGATCCTTTCTAGATACAGATATTATTATTTTCCACTTATTTGCGATATACAAGATTCACTTTTTCAGAAAAGTCCAATTCAAACATTAATTGTGTTCCACATTTTTCTGTAGTCTAAATCACAATATAAATAAATCGATAGTCGTAGATTTATTCATCAAATGCTTTATACGCTATGTTACAAATAGTTTGTACCTGGGTACGTCCGTACTTCAAGAGTTGATAATTGACACAAGGTTAAGTAAGGTCACACATTGTTACCTTTTGTCGATTGAAAAACTGTATCTTAACGTAGTAGATCATGTAGATAAATCACGGAAATTAAATACTTTTTTTAACTATCGAAACCATTATGAAAAATATTAATTTTTTTACACTTAATGTTAATGGTATAAAAAATAAAGAATAAGGAATGAGGGTTATAGAGTGGATTAAACGCAATAAATGCTCCATTGCCTTATTACAAGAAACGCACTTTAACGAAGACACAAAAGCAAATCTTGAAAAAGAATCTGATTTTATTTTCTACTGCAGTAATGGCACTACAGATAGTAGGGAGGTAGCAATCGCTATAAATAAATACGCAGATATCGATGTAATTAATTGATTCTGCGATAACGACGGGAGACTTATCCTATTAAATGTAAAAATGGATAATTTAATTTTGTCATTAGTTTGTCTGTATGCACCAAATTACAGGACTGATAGGAATTCTTTCTTTAAAAAGGTCAACAATTTTATAAAGGAACACTGGATTGGCATAATTTTGGTTGGAGGCGATTTCAATGAAGCGTTAAGAAATATCGATAGAAAAAGTTTAAATAAAAATGCAAGATTTACCGAGCAGTTTAATAGTTTAAAAACTTTTATTAAAAATCATAGCCTTATGAATATTTGGCGCTTTCTACATGAAAGCACACAACAATTTACATGGAGAAGAAAAGATAAGACTCAAGCAAGTAGGATAGATTTTATTTTAATTGGAAAAGATTTTCAGTCTTGTTGAGAATTGTAAAATTAAACCAGCGCTTATAAAAGTGACTGACCACCAGGGGTAGTAATTAGCATTCGGGTTTTGGATTCTGAAAGAGGGAATGGGTATTGGAAATTAAACAATTCTATTTCAAAAGATATTGAATATCAAGATAAACTCAATAAAGTGATTAATAGGTTTAAAGGTCGTATAATCAATAGTGACAGCAGTGATATCCGTTTACTATGGGACAATTTAAAAGTCGAAATTAGGGACGGATCTATACTTTACTGTAAAAGAAAATCAAAGTTATCAAGGGAGACAACAAGAAAGTTGGAAAACGAATTAGAGCAACTTACGAAATTAAGAGATGAACAATTAAAGGAAGATGAAAAACTAACAAATAATATAAAACAATTAGATGTGCAATTAGAAGCAATTTATGAATATAAAGCGAAGGGGGCTCAAATTAGATCAAGGGAAAAATAGGTGGAATTAGGGGAGAAGAATAACACTTATTTTTTAGGATTAGAAAAACAGCGACAAGTTAAAAAATCTATCATTTAGCTTAGAAACGAAAAAAAAAGGAAGTAACAACAAACCAGGAAGAAATTTTAGAAATGATAAAGAATTATTATAAATTATTATACACTACAACATGCCCCGATAAAAATTTGTTACATTCATACGTTTCTGACACTATTATGGAAAGGGATATAGATATTGATGACTTTGAAGAATGTGATGCGGAAGTAACTATAGATGAATGCACCAGTGCTATAAACACGATGAAGCTAAATAAATCACCAGGTCTTGACGGCTTGACTTTGGAATATTATAAGACTTTATGTTAGTTAAAGTTCTTAATAAGGGACACGGGGAAAAAACTTTTATCGTATACCCAATGAACAGGTGTACATTCTTTATTATTTAAAAAGAATGACCCATTATCTTTGGACAATCATCGTCCTATATCATTATTAAACGTATATTTGAAAATACTATCCCATGTTTTGGCACAGAGACCTTAAAAAACTGCTTCCTAAACTAATTAATGAAGATCAAACTGGATATGTAAAAAAACGTTTTATTGGATTCAATTTAAGGCAAATTCAAGACATTATGGACTATGCAGAATCATACGGAATAGATGGGGCTTTTGTATATGTTGATTTTACTTAAGCTTTTGATTCTTTGGAATGGAAATTCATGTTAAGCGTTCTAAAACATTTTGGTTTTAATGAATCATTTATATCATGGGTGGATACTTTATACAAGGGAATACAGACATGTGTAATAAATAATGGATTGGTATCTGAGATTTTTGAAAACTCCAGAGGAATCCGTCAAGGATGCCCTTTATCTGCTTTACTTTTTGTTTTGTCAGTAGAAATTATGGCTTTTCGATTACGACAAAACCCCGACATCAAAGGTATTCGAATTACTATTGATAAAAAAACACATAGCATAAAAGTATCTCAATTGGCGGATGATACAACTCTTTTTTGTAGTTCAAACACCGACATATCAAATGCTATGAATATTATAGAAACGTTTGGTTCTTTCTCTGGTCTGAGATTAAATCGTAGTAAAACAGAAGGAATCTTGATAGGGACGCTTAAACATAGTATAAATAAAATTGAGGGAATACGCTAGACGGACAAACCAGTTAAAGCCTTAGGGATTTATTTTGGTCACAACACAAACGAATGTGAAAAGTTAAACCGGGAACCTAAAATTGATAAAATGAAATCCTTACTTAAGGCATTGAAAAAAAGAAAACTAACTACATTTGGAAAAATATTAATTATAAAATCTTTAATCTTACCAAAATTTACATTTTTGGCTACTTCGTGTATTGTTCCAAACAAATACATTAAAGAGATTGAAAGCTGTTGTTTTAAATATATTGGGAAGGTAAAAATGACAAAGTAAAAAGAAATACACTAATTGGCGATTATCAAAAAGGGGGGTAAAAAATAGTTGAGTTTGAAAGCTATTTTACATCACTGAAAGCTTCATGGGTTTCCAAATTTACTTCAACCACTCTGCCGAACTGGATGATTATTCCTACCAAATATTTCAACAATCTTGGAAAAAAATTATCTTGTCTTTAACATGAATTTAGATAATGTTAGATCACTAAAAGAATTTGAAAATATACCAGATTTTTATTTGCAAGTAATTTCAAGCTGGGTGAAAACAGGGGGAGGTTTTACAAAATTTAAAGATCATTTTTCAAATATTAGAAAACAGGTTATTTGGGGAAATAGATACGTTAAACATTGCAACAAAAGTTTGTTCTCTCAAAACTGGGAAGCAAGTTGATTTCTTTATATCAACGACATACTTGATCGTGAGGGAAAGTTATCAGAGGTTTTTATTTTAGAAAAATTAAGCAATAAGTCTAATTGGATTGCAGAGTTTACAATATTAAAATCTTCCATCCCAAAGGAATGGCAGCAAGTTCTAATTAAAGAAAAGAATAAAGAATATATTGGTTGTTAAAAAAAAAGAAAAAAAAAAAAGAAATAAAACTAACTAATCTTGATAGAATTGTTAGTTATCTCTGTCCAGTTAATTACAATTGTACTGTACGAAGCAAGTGTTTCGGTATGTGAAAATACAAGTCATGCACTTTGTAAGTAAGTAATTATATTAACTTTATAAAACGGGCTGGTTTAATGACATTTTTACCGCGAAAAAAAATTTATTTTTTCAACAATTTAAAAGAAACTAACTTTTTTTCTTAAAACATTGAATCAGGATAGAATATTATATAATTTCATTTCATATAATTGTGCATTGAAAAATCCGTGTTCTGGTACTAGTATTCCAATCTAATAAATGAAGTAAAGGATTGTTTCTGTACAAAACCTTAAAGGAATATTTAAGATAGACAATGGTATAGAAAACCCCCGATTGACAACAACACACGATTACATTTAAATGATGTTTTTAAAAACTGTAGTTTGCATTATAATCGGGGTAAATAATGACTTGACACAGGTCTTTATTTTATGCCTTGAAGCACTTTTCATTGAAACTTGGTATCGTCCAGGTTGATTCTTCAAAAGAATAACCTAACTTTCTGAAAGAAAATACTCCATATAGGTATATAAAGATATCGAAAATTTCCTGACAAAAAAATGGTGTTAAAATCTGTTGGAAAAGGGTGGATAACAATATTTAATCAAAGAAAACAAATAAACATGTGACAAATCCCTTTTGTGGTACCAAGTTGATAAAAGTCTAACCACAAATTACCTAACAATCATATTAGAAGTTTGTGGTTTCATATGAAATATATGTATATATCGAAAGATCGCTAGTGACGAATACCTTTTGTCAATGCACTGTAGTTTTGAAGCTTAAGGATGTACAAAGGATGTAAAAATTTCTGGAATTAAACTTTTTTTCTTAACAAGATTTTTGGGTTTATATGACTGTAAAAAAAATAATTGGTGAAGAAAAAATCATATGGTTGCGTACTTTTTTTGCTACGGCCCGTTGAAAGTACCCAATTTTGATAAATTTCTAATTTTTCTTCAATTTTTACCCATTTTTGGACTATTATCGTTCCACAATTACACTTTTTTTCATACTTTCAATAAAGATGAAGTGGACCAATCTGAATAAATTTTACTTTAAAAAAACTATAGGTAGGTGTAAATATAAGAAAGTTTTATCATATTTTGATGCTTTTTCGTGTCAAATTTACCATGCTGTCAATTTTGTAAATTTGTGATTTTTCTCTGTTTTAAGAACGAAATGCATATTATTTCAACTTCTTTGTTATAAATGATTGAAAAAATACATATCTAAGAAATTTGAAAAGAAAAAAGGAATATAGGATGTACATGTTTCTAATCAAATCCTTTCTTGTACCCCTCACCCATTTTCTCAAAATTTTGACTAAAAAGACTGATTTGATTGGTAATGAAATTTGAAAAATTTATCACTCAAAAACTACTTATTGTAAATACACAATTCATTTACAGAGTTAAGTTTGATTGTAACATTTTTTAAATTCATTGATATTTTCCACTTGTATCACATGTTTTGTAAATAATTCCAGAACGAGATTTCAACGAGACTGAAACGTCAGAAGAATACATCCTTAAGATGACCGTGGGGACTTTTCTTTTAATTTAAACCTATTTTTTTTTATTAAGATATGAAAGTGATTGAGCATCTTGCACACCTTTAAAAGCGATCTTGGAATATGTTCACAAGGTATAATCATATATTAACAATTGCTAGGCCGTTGAGACTTTGACTTAAAACCTAGTAACAGGCATCAATCTTGAAGTATCAATATTCGTTATGAACTTACATAAGCTGAACATTTATAAATACTACTGTTATGTATTATGTTTTATATTTCAGTGGAGAAAACAACGAAAATTATGCCGAAAGGTAATTACAGTTTAATATCTGGATACTGTATTATTGATATTATAATGCCTTCAATAAAAAAGGAGCCGTTTTCATTTGTGAAAACTGGTTTCTTTGGGTTTTTTATAAAGTGGAGTTTGAAGTACAGGGAAGAAATGGTGAAACATATAGATATCAAATATTGTAGTAAAGGCACAAATCTTTAAAATTGATAACACTTGAAATATAATTCAAAATAATATTAATAAAAGTGTTATTCAAATCAAATTTATAAATGAGGAAGAAAGAATTTTATCGTCTAGATTATATCTGTATACTTACCAATACATTTGATTCTTCTGTGAATGTACAATATTAAACTAGAACAGTTTCAATACATTGTTTAAATTTTGTACATAAGAAAACATATGATAAACCATCGGTTCCCAAACTAAGATTTTTTTTTTTAATTTTTCACGTTTTTTTGTTTGGCTCCATTTGGACCTGCAACCTTAAGTAGTGGTTTCTTAAAATAATTTAAAGTGTATCTAAATAGTAAACACGGTCAGTAGATATATTTCCACGGGTGTGTACTGTTTTTTGAAAGCCTCTGTACTGTGTTGCCTAGACACAGAAGGGAAGCACACCTTCGAGAAATGCAAGTTTTCCCTGATTTCAAAGCTTTTATTTGGTCTCAAACTGCACCTTAGATCGGAGGAACGTGATTATAAATAGGCTTAGAGCTGAGGGGACTTTCGTGAATTTCCAAATAAATATACAGCTGACATGTAGATGGATGGAGAGTCATTTGAACAACAAATAGTATTTTTGTAGAGGCCGTTCGCATGGTATTGACTAACAGTGACATCGGTCATGCAGTAGTTTATCAGAATTTCTTTGTAACAAGTTGATTTGATGCACTTTTATAAACTGATCATGTGTCAAAATTCATTTTAAGGTATGTCGTTTTTATTTCAGTAAAGAAAGTAAAAACAATTATGCCAAAAGGTAAATATATTTGCATGGTGTTATTCTGAAGACAAACACTTTTCGCATTTTTTTAAAACAAACTATTTTTTGATAACATTCGTGACCAAGAATTGTTTAGAAACTCAAAGTTGTACCAAGAATGTTTTAGAAATTCAAAGTTGTATTTATTTTCAACCAAGAATAAAAAAAATGTCTTAAAAATGATGCACCCCCTTCACTCCTCACCCAAATAAATATATTGAATTTTCATGGTTATATGCACGTTTAGTATTATATTGTTGATTAAATTGTCTTAATAAAACACGAGCCACTCGAGTCAGAACTTTAATGGGATAATTCTGAAGCATTTCTCGGACTGTTTATGACGTCTTAACTCTGGATACGTTGGATATGTACTAATTGGGAGAACTAGCTTTCAGTATTTGCAGTAACTTCCATTGTTTTTATGTTAGTTGTTTGTGGGCCTCGCACCGATATTTTGAGTTGCTAATTGCTACTGATTTTTTGTCCACCACGTAACGCAATGCGGGGACATGGAAATACCGGGCGTCCGTCCCTCCGTACATCCGGCCATGTGTCCGTCTGGTCTTGTTAGCGCTATCATTGGTACAATTTTTGCCAGATTTTTTATAAAACTTATAATATAGGTTATTATCAGCAATATCTCTGACAAGTTCTATAATGGTGGACGATCGACTTTTTTTAAAAGAGTTATGCCCCTTGGGAATACTAAATTTATGGAAAGTGGCCTCGATAGCGCTCTCACGGGTACAATTCTTGCCAGATTTATATAAAACTTATACTATAGGTTAATATCAGCAATATCTCGGACAAGTTCCATAATGGTGGACGATCAACTTTTTTAAAAAGAGTTATGACCCTTGGAAATATTAAATTTATGGAAAATGGCCTCGTTTGCGCTCTCAAGGGTACAATTCTTGCCAGATTTTTATAAAAAATTGAAAACAACACGTTTAATAAAACTTATACAGTAGATTAATATCAGCAATATCTCGGACAAGTACTATAATGGTCCTTGGAAATATTTAATTTATGGAAAATGGCCTCGTTAGCGCTCTCACTGGTACAATTCTTGCCAGATTTTTATAAAACTTATACTATAGGATAATATCAGCAATATCTCAGACAAGTTCTAAAATGGTGGAAGATCAACTTTTTTTAAAAGAGTTATGCACCTTGGGAATACTAAATTTATGGAAAATGGCCTTGTTAGCGCTCTCACGGGTACAATTGTTGCCAGATTTTTATAAAACTTAAACTATAGGTTAATATCAGCAATATCTCGGACAAGTTCTATAATGGTGGACGATCGGCATTTTTTAAAGAGTTATGCTCCTTGGAATATAAAATATGTGCAACGCGAGGGACATTGGAACTCTGTTCTTTTATTTCAGTTTGTTTTTATGTTGTGCTGTTACACCACTATCCCAGGTTAGGGGAGGGTTGAGTCAATGTCTCTGCAGCCATCAAAAGCTTGCCATGCACAGGGGAGGGTTGAGCGCTAACTAACCCGCAACATTCATCATGTGCCTGTCCTAAGTCAGAATCCTTTAGTTCAGTGGTTGTCGTTGGTTCATGTCTGTAATATTTGTTTTTCGTATATGGCATCTGGTGTGATGCATTTGAATACTAAGTAGTATAAAATGGTTGGTGCGAGACCACTCGTCCAGGAGACAACTCGGACTATCTACAAAATGACAGCTCGGACCGTCGATGAAGACAATGTGGACCCTATATAAGCCATATAAATGATTTAATAAAAAAGACTGTATCTGAAGAGAAGTCATACCGTCTAGAATGTAAATAATAAATGGAGAGTTTTGATGCCCATTTTGACTATTCAGATAACAAGGAAGACAACTCGGACTGTCTACGAAGAGACTTCTATATAGACAATTCAAGATCACAACTTATAGACTTTTTGACTTTTATATTGACATGCATCTGTCTAATGCTGAAGATTGAATGAAACTCCCTATATTTTTTAAGTAACAAATATGCCATGTACATAATACGGTAATAATAATTGGAAGATTTTTAAATGACAAGTATGTCATTTACATATAGACGGTCTGAGTTGACTTTAAAATAATAGATTTGAATTTTTTTATTATGTTTTGGAAATTCAGCAACATGTAAATGATACTGTCATGTAAAATATATCATTTGATAATTTTATGAGTAAAAAATTATGAGTTTGAATGTCCCTTTAGTATCTTTTGCCTCTTATAATCATTTAAATAGTTTAAATCCTCTTTTAATACATCTGAGTTGTAATAATAGACGGTCCGAGTCGACTTATTAGTCGGTCCGGTTTGACTTCGGCCGAGTTGTCCCGCATTCAAATTGGTGTTGTTTTCGAAGGACAGTCATTTATAAATTATCAGCTTGTTGTATACACAAATATATATAGTTGTATTTAAAAGCTTTATACATGCATATATGCTTTGCATTTATACGTTTATTTGAAACAACATACCATTCTATATGCGCCTGTCCCAACTCAGGAGCCTGTAGTTCACTGGTTGTCGTTGGTTCATGTGTGTCAAATCTGTTTTTCGTAAAAATTGTTTTGTTATAAATTAGGCCGTTAGTTTTCTCAATTGAATTGTTTCATATTATTCATGTCAGGGCCTTTTAAAGCCGACTATACGGTATGGGTTTCTCATTATTGAAGGCTGTACGGTTGTCTATAATTGCATATATCCATTCCATTTGAACATTGGTGAATAGTTGTCGCATTGGCAATCAGTTACTTATATCAAACATGGATTTCTACCTGTTCAAAGCTGTTGTACTGTTTCATGTTCAGTAGGATCTTTATTTGAGCCGATTACATGAAGTTGTAGGTTTTGCCACGAGTTAACGATTTTGTACTGTAAATGTTGTAAAGAGATTCAACAAGGTGTCTGAGAACAAATTGAGAAACAAAGTAGGGTAATATAAGAACTAGGATATGAGATATATAAAATTATGATGCGCCAAATCTGTGTTAATTTCTGATCGCTCCCTTGCAAAAAATGCTTTTCATAGATTTTATGTTTTTAATAATTCAAAAATAATATTGCTCGCTAGTGAAAAATTCTTTCGTCTGCCAAAAATCAAACTTCAAAAAAAAAAGCAAAAAAATTTCGCTCGCTCGCAACCCTTTTTATTGTACAAATTAGAATGAACGCAAAGCAAATTGCCTGTATAAGAATAACTAGCAGTTAGTAATGAAAAGCATGTTCAACTGAAGTTCATTAAATGCTTATCAACAACCTAGTAACAGAAATAGCGTTTAAAATGGGTTATTATTGTCATCTGATTACGATAATCTGAAGAATGAATTTAGCAATCTTGTGAAGAATCTACTGTAACATACTGTGAAACACTATAATTTAAATATCTTTTTTCATCATTTTTCTGTGTTGATGAAGTTCATATCCAGTATAGTAAATAAAAATTGCTTAGCAACAGCCGAACATGCTTAAGGATGTTCGATACTCTTGTTTTTGACTTTTTTGTCTGATATTCGGAATCCTCTAGTGTTATGTATGTAGTGCAATTAAAGATTTTGCCCGCTAACCCCCACTTTTCTTCACATAGTTTTACAACGTATAGTTTAAATAGCAATTTTTGAACATCATAAAAAGTTCTTGTTATTTTTTCTTACTTTTTGAAAGAAAAAAAGGTTCTTATGTTAAATGAATGAAAAGTCAACAGAGAATCATGTCCTGCCAAATTTTCAATGGCTTATATCTCAAAAACAAGTACACGGACCTTTCGTTTTTTCCTGGTTTCTTAGTTCCTTTTTTTAATACTATCAATTTAAAACAATCTTTTCAAAAGCTTGATATTTTTAAAAAGAAGAGCAAACATGTGTTTAATGCATTGACTGTCTCACTCCTAACGTTGTCTTGCGAAGCCGCCGTTTGAAAAAAAATCCTGGATCTGCACGTAATTGCATATTTTAATATTTTTATTATGGTTTATAGTCACTATGAAAAACTTCAAAACCTCAATTGTTTAAGTTTTTAATCTAATGAGACATGATTGAGAATTAGAACAGGAAATTGACTGTTTTGTATAAGAACGAAAGTTCTGAATAGTTACATGTACTGTAACATTTAGAATGTGAATAGAAAGAGATGTCGAGAATAAGTCAATGAGTCAGCAACCAACAACAGGTTAAGATAACCAATTGAGCTATAAATATTATCCCCTTTTACATTTTAATATTGAAATAAATGTGACGGAAACGTTAATTTATTTAATAAGTTAAATGGATGTATGTTTCATTACTAATATGGACCTATCATCTATGATTTAAAGAAGAACAGTCGCCAATCTGACCTGGTCAAGAACATTCTATTTTTGCAAAATTATGATAACAATTCTTCAACCAAACTAATACCTTGCCATAGACATGATGTAGACATCATATGTCGTTCCTAGAAGATTTCAGCAAGACAAGCAGTTGCCTGGAATAAGAGAAAATACCTAGAAATAACTGAAAGAAAGAACCTTATTTTCTTTTTGGGGCTTTCTTTAGCTGACTATTATACAGTTTTGGGTTTTCTCGTTGTTTAAGGCCGTCCGGTGACCTATAATTGCTTTTATCTCTTTCATTTGAATTCTGTTGGATAGTTGTCTCATTGGCAATCATACCACATCTTCTTATGTACTTGATATTCAAAACATATTTCATTGAATCGGTCACTTGCTACATTGTTTCAAAACTGATCGGATAAAATGTGCCTGATAAAAGAATGATGCATGGTGAGCACTTTTTAGCTCACCCTTCCTTGAAAAGGAAATGTGAGCTTTTGTCATCACTTGGCGTCCGTCGTCGTCCGTCCGGTGTAAACTATTTCAAATATCTTGTCCTCTGAAACTACTAAATCAATTCCAACCAAACTTAAGCTGAATGATCCTTAGGGTATTTAAAATAAAGTTTGTGTTTTATTTTCTGTTTCGTCAAAAAAACATGGACACCATCGCTAAAAATAGAACAT